AGGCTCCTCAGTGTCTCTGTTACGGGCGCCATTTGTCGCAACGAGGGAAAGCAGGGACACTCAATATGAGTATCAAGCAAGCTTCGTTTATTGATTATACAGTACAGCTTATATAGGATATATAATGAGATCATTACTATCCTGTAATCTAACCTACGATTGGTAACAGCCTTAACAGTCAGCTGCAGTCACACACTGTCTCCTAGAATCTTACATACTAACACTATTCTTAGTTCTAATATCTATATTTACCAGTAGCTTTCACATATGATTGGATGTTCACCTCTTATTTACATTCTTTTCTATGCTGTCAGACTGCGACCTTGCTGCATTCTGCAACAGACTATTGCTCATCTTGCTTTCTTCTAGGTGCTTAGAAATATTTTCCTAGCAGTTTTTGGTCTTTTCTACTAGGTTTTCCAAGACATGAGTGCAGTTAGTCTCATCCTTTTCTTTGGACAGGCAGATGGAAGGAGCCTGAAGATTTGTGTCTCTTTATGGATGCAGATGCTGCTGCAGCACAACTGTCTGTGTTTTGTCCTGTGCTACCTAATTCTGTCCTCACAGAAGGGATGCAGTGTCACACAGTGCCTACACAACCCTCTGCCCTTTGCTTTTCTGACAGCCTCTGCTCTGTTTCCTAGGCAGCTCTTGCATCAGAGTTCCTAAAGCTACAGGAATGTTTTCTTCGAATTCCCTGGATCCAGACTCTAGGCTTGTTGATATGGTTGGAGTTCTTTTCAGTTGCAGTTCTTCCTGAGAAAATGAGGATATTGAAAAATGTTTGAAGTTTGGATAGAAAAAGGAAAGCAAGTTTTTTCTTTTGTGTGTGTATGTTTGTATGTAACATATATGTATGTGTGTATATGTATTAGAGTGTGTCAGTGTTGCTGAAAAGCCTGGAAGCAACTCTGACCCCAAAAAACGGTTTTGGGATGGGACATGTGAAAAGCTGTAGGTCCTGTTGGGTAATATGTTGTATGTGATATATTGATAACATCTATGCTGTAATTGCTGTTTGGTTTTTGTGGACAGCAGAGATTTGTATCAGATACTCAGAGGGGGTGACTGTGCTGCTGTTTTCTTGCAACAACAGTGTCTCCATCTCTGGCATCTGAAGGTTGCCCAAAGCAAATGTGGGAAAGTACTTTACTCTGACAGGAGACAAAAGCTGTGCTTATAAAAATGTATGTGTTTAGTGCCAAAAGAACAACTGCTTGGAAATGTCATTGAGGCTGTGCCAGAGAAGCTACTGGAGTTTCATGCCAAGATGTCCCAAAAAAGGAAGGGTGATTGTTCTCTAGTTCCCACTGACAAATTCAAACCTGAGCTAGAAGCAGTTGTATAATAAAGGTAACATAATGAAGCACCTTAATAAGGAAAAATGACACTATGTGCTTGTATTTCTGAAACGATTAATGCATTTGGGTTGCCTTGCCCTGCTGGGCAGTGCAGGCTTTTTTTCCCCTGTAGTGACAGACAGGTCGTCCCGTCAGAGAAAGGAGCAATTGGAATATATTGTATAGGAAAAACTAAATAAATAATTTGCCTTTCACAGATCTGTGCTTAGCATCAGAAGTAAAAATGTCACACTAAATTTTAGGAGCAGAGAGCTTCCCAAATTCTGCATCATGTCCTTGTATCCTTATGTGATACAGGGCTGTATAGTAATGTTTTGATGCCTGTGCCCCTGCGTTTGAGTAGCCCCAAAGCAGAATGAGCACAGCAGAATGGGAGTTGAAAGGTAGAATTCTGGATTTATTTGCATTCCTTAGGAAGACTTCCTGAGCTTTATGCCTGTTTAATTGTGAATTGTAGAGCAGTACTAAAGTGACTCCTGTTTTATTTCGAACGCTGCAGTTAGCTCTTGTACTTAATGCAAACTCATTCTTAATAAAAGATTGTATTATTTTTTAAATATCTGGAGTCAGTTTCTGTAAATTATTTTTATTTATGTTGTTTTCTTTTAGCTTCTAGCATTTCTTATAAATGCTTTTCTTAAGAGATTCCTCTTCCCTCCCCCCAATTGAGTGATGTCTTTTAAATATGTTTCCTGCAGCACTTGGTAAGCAAGGAGTGCTTAACTGGATACATCAAGTTGTCAGATAAATAGAGGGATTAAACCCAGCAATGTTGATCCTTTTTCACTTTCCCAGCAGGGTGACAGATATATTAGTCCCTCCAGTGACAGAATCATAGAACAACATAGATTAGAATGTACATATTACATTGTGTACACAAAAATGTGTAAATGTGTGTATTTTAGGATCTTTTTTCATCTGTTGATGGACACACTGATTTCATGTTCTTAACTGTGTCTAATAATAATCCTTTGGAGCAACTTCCATAACTCACCTTGTGAAGCGAGACAGCTCTACATCAAATCCAATTTTAATGAGAAGCTCTGTGGATTCATTTGTACCATTAGCTGACAGCTGGAAACCCTGAAACCTCTCTATTCTCTCAGTATTCAGGAGAAATTGGGCAAAGGAAGAAGAAAAGCTTTGAGAAACTGAGTTTCCTCCCTGACCAACCCTGTTGGTGTCATGGGATTGAAGTTTGCTTGTTCTCAGAGTGCTGGAAAGGATATCAGTAAAATATGAGTTGAGCTGCAGTTCATTGTAGATGTTCTGACAAGAATGATGTTTACAAAAGTTGATGGCAAATTGACTTCTGATTTAAATAGGCATTGGTAGCTGGAGAGATAAAATAAGCATCAGCATCTCACCCTGGCTAAAATCAGGAAAATGGCCTTCGGGTGATCATCTGGCGACACAAAGGACAGACATGAAAACCTTCTGCAGAAAATTTTATTTTCATACATCTTGATAAAAATTCAGATTTTTCCATATGTTGGATCTATAAATTCCTATTTTTAAACTTTATTTAGAATATCAGATGCAAACTTTCAGATAGAAGAAGTGTCCTATTTTTTTGATGTTGACATATATAGAATATAAATACGAAAATATGTGAAGTTTTTGCAGATCAATGAGTTGTTTAATTCTAACTTCAACTATTTCCCATTGATACAGCTGGCAAATATAAATAGTACTATAAGAGGTCACACAAGTTATATTGTTTTATTGTTGTAACTATCATTTTCCAAAGTTTATGCTAAGGAGTTGGATAAATATGATTATGAAACGAAAGAAAAACACAAAGAAATTACACGAACTGATTTTTAAACATTACTTTATGAACAGACAGGTGTGGCATGAACCATCCCGTGAGATACTCCCCCAGATCCTCCTCTGTTTGACTTTTTAAAAATGAATTCTGCAGACCTTATTAAGCCTTGTTTTTCTGAAGTCAGTGTTATTAAAACATAAAGAGGTAGAAATGAAAAAATCCTCTTTTAGAAAGATTTCTCCAAGTCCCTACTCAGACATGGTCCACAGAAAAGCCCTGCTGTCTTTTAGGGCTGATGTAAAGGTTTGTGCTCACCTCCAGGTACCATACAGCCCGTTGTAAATAGTTTAGTGCTGAAGTGGTGTTTTTTCAAGTGGCTGTAGTGAGGACACATGCTAATTTAGCAAAAGGAAGGAGTACGTTAGAGCAGATTATTGGTGGAGGTTAAAGCAAGTGAAGAAACACAAGCAAGAAAACAGCTGATTGTTACTGGAGGTTGAGGAACACAGGCCAATTGTCTTTTCACTTGATTTAAAATGTTTGCTCCTTCTGAGAAGGGCTGGGGAGAGGGAAATCCCAGAGGGTATAAAGACTGAAAACTTAATTGGATCAGTCAGTTAAAACTAAGGCACTGGAAGGATCATCTAGGATGCACTGAGAGAAGTCAGACCTCTAAGACTCACTTAGGTTGACATGGTGTGGTGGAAATTAACTCTTCTATTTATCCGTCGAGCCTCAGAGATGTATTAATCCTTTCAAGTGGGAATATGCAGAATGTAATACAGAAAATCTGTCTGCTTGTTTGTTCCTGTGAGGTCGGAAAGCCGTGCAAAAAGGGTATTGATTAACTTCCATCCTATAATACCTACACAATCCTTCTCATTGGCATGATTCCAATCTGCTTGAAGTATTGGTTAATTGATGTCCCAGGGTGGTTTGAGAGTGGATACTCTGTGGCCAAGTAGGTTTTATATGTGTCTTTTACTGACAGCTTTCTATTGGCTGCTGCTCCTTTTCCTTCTGTAGCTGTGTAATTGTGCTCACAGGTTGGCAGGGACACTGTGTGCCCTCTTTTTTTGTTTCTTTTTAATCACTGTATCTGTTTAATTTTGTATTAACAGCTGTACAAATTGAATTGATAATGCAGCATCCAAACTTAATTTCAGTGAGCAGTTAGGAAGAGCAGCCAGTGTAGAAAAGTTGCATCCTGTAGAGTTTGCTGGCACTGTTAAACCGGGAGGAACTGCTGACATGTTGGCAGGACTGGGTTGCCAGTAATATCATCATTGACTGGAGTGCTAAAGGACTGAGAGAAATCAAGTCCTTTAGCGTAAGGAAAGGTATTGAAATAGTTAGGAAGTAAAGGACAGAACACTTTATTTAAGCTGCATACAGGAAAAATGCAAGTAAATTCACGTGACAAGTTCTACCACATGGAACAAAATCTTTAAATGTAAAGGATAATTAAATATGGTAATAGCACAGAAGAATTGCTTAACTGTTTATTCAACATAAGTCTTTAAAAAGAGGTAAGGCAAATGCTTGTTATGATTGGTGAAATCATGTTTGTATATGCCTTGCAGGTATACTAAACAACCTGTTGCAGTCTCTTTTGGGCTTGTTCACTGTTTCTGCTGTTTCTGTTTGGTTTTTTTTTTTTTATTTACACTTCTACAATGGTTAGAAGGATCATTTTAAAAAAACACCCTTAGAAATGTTCTCAACCCACTTAAATAGCTCATCTCTTCATTCATTACCCATTCAATTCTTAATAAAGGAAAGACAAAGGAAAGTGCACCATTGTAACCTTCAGTGTTCTTCATGAAGGGAGCATAACAAACTGAAAGTAACATGTTTTTTCTTTGCAGATTACAGGATGACAGAATTAGGATAGAAAGGATGCAAAACCTCAGTTTTGAATACAGCCATGCTTTCCAGCTGATTACTGACTTCTATGCAAAAGAAGTGCCTGGTACCACAGGTATGTCATTCCACATGGCTTTGAAGTGCCATCCTGTCGACCATTATATCCACGCTGGCTTTCAGCCACCTTTGCTTAACGTTCTGCGCAGTGGGATATTTTTTTGAGCTTGGAAGACGTGAACCTTGAAAGTGAACTATCTAAACAGAAATGAATATAGGGCGAGCAATGCGATTTTTCATAGCTTGAAAATGTGTGTTTAGACAGATTTAAATTCACAGATATTTAGCAACTGGGGGTAATTACACAACATCTGAAATATTTCTTTAAGTTCACAGAATCCTAGGATATTTGGGGTTGAAGGGACCTTTGGAGACCACCCAGCCCAATCCCCTGCCCAGGCAGGGTCCCCTGGAGCAGGTGACGCAGGGAATGTCCAGGCGGGTTTGGGATGTCTCTAGACAGGGAGACTCCACACCCTCCCTGGGCGGCTGTCCCAGGCTCCGCCACCTCCATGGAAAGAAGTTCCGCCTCATGTTAAGGGGGAACTTGTTGTGTTTGAGTTTATGGCCTTTGCTCCTTGTCCTGTCTGGGCAGCACTGAACAGAGTCTGGGACCATCCTCTGACATTCCTTGGGGATATTTGTGTGGACTGATGGAATCCCTTCTCAATTTTCTCCAGACCCAGCTCATGTAGTCTCTGCTCATCAGGGAGATGCTTCAGACCCCTCATCATTTCTGTGGCCTCCACTGGACCCTCTCCAGTATCCATCTGACCTGCTGGCCACACTCTTCCTGATGCACCTCAGGATCCCACTGTCCCTCCTGACCCCAAGGGTGCTGCCAGCTCATGGCCAACTTGTCACCCACCAGGACCCCCAGGTCCTTCTCCGCAGAGCTGCTCTGTAGCAGGTCATCCTCAACCTGTGCTGGTCCTTGGGGTCATCCCTCCCCACCTACAGGACCTGCACTTGCCCTTGTTGCACCTCTTTAGGTTTCTCTCCACCCAACTCTCCAGCCTGTCTAGGTCCCTCTGAACGACAGCACAGCCTTCAGGTGGATCAGCCACTGCCCCAGTTCTGTATCACTGGCAAATCACAGGATCACTGAGGTTGGAAAAGCCCTCCCAGCCCATCGAGTCCACTCTGTGCCCAACCCCACCTTGTCATCCAGCACAGATCACTGAGTGCCAAGTCCAGTAGTTCCTTGGTCACCTCCAGGGACAGGGACTCCACCTCCCTGGGCAGTCCCTTCCAATGCCTGACGAGCCTTTCCAGCAAGAAATTCCTCCTGATGTCTAATCTGACCCTGTCCTGGCACAGCTTGAGGCTGTTTCCCTTTGTCCTGTCCTTTGTTGCCTGGAAGCAGAGCCCAACCCCACTCTGGCTCCCCGCTCCTGTCAGGGAGTTGCAGAGAGTGAGAAGGTCCCCCCTGAGCCTCCTTTTCTCCTGGCTGAGCTCCCCCAGCTCCCTCCGCTGCTCCTGGTGCTCCAGACCCTTCCCCAGCTCCATTCCCTTCCCTGGACACACTCTAGCCCCTCAATGTCTTTCTTGAACTGAGGGGCCCAGACTAAAACACAGGACTTGAGAGGCCTCTGCCATGCCCAGCACTGCCCTGGGCCTGCTGGACACACTTTGTGATACAAACCAGGTGCCACTGGCCTTCCTGCCCACCTTGGTGCACCTGGGGCCATGTTCAGTTGCTGTCACCCCCAGGGTGTTATCCAGCTTTCCAGCCCTTCTTTCCCCAGTCTGAGTGTTCCATGGGATTTGTTGTGACGCAAGGGCAGCACCTGCATTTGGTCTTGTTGACTCTCACACTGTTACTCTTGGCCCATTCATTCAGCCTATCCCAGTCTCTCAGCAGAGCCTTCCTGCCCTCCAGCACATAAACTCCCTGAGGGTCCTTTCCATCCCTTCATTTAGGTCATTGATAAACAAACTGGATCAGGCTGGACCCAGCATTGATCCCTGGCTACCAGTGACTACAGGCCTCCAGCTGGATTCTGCTTAGCTGATCACAACCCTCTGAGCTCTGCCAGTTCTTGATTCCCCTCACTGTCTATTCATCCAACCCACATTTCCTGAGCTTTCCTACGAGGGGATTATGGGAAACAGTGTCAAAAACCTTGCTGAAGTCAAGGCAGATACCACTCTTTGCTCTCCCCTCATTGACCCATCCTGCCATGCCATCATAGATTAGTCAAACAGGATTTCCACTTGGTGGGTCCATGCTGAGTGTTCCTGATGACCTTCTTCTACATGCTTGGTGATACCTTCAGAATACCCTGTTCCACCACCTTTCCAGGGACAGACGTTGAGGCTGACCAGATGGGAGTTTCCCAGGTCCTTCTCCTTGCCCTTTTTGAAGATGGGGGGAACATTCTTATCACTGAGGTCTAAAGTTCTTGTGTGTGTGAACTCTCTAAGAACAGAAGAGCAGCTTTACAAAACATCTCTGAAAAAACTTAAGTAAATGGGTTTTCTTTAAGTACTGTTTTATGTTGTGATATCATGAAGTGAGTTTTCCCAGTTTTGCATCTGGAATAGAGACTGTAGTAGGGCACTGTGCAAAATGCTATCCAATATGAATGGCTTTCTTACAGAAGTGTCAGAATTCCATTCTTAGTTTGTATATTTAGATGTTTGTTATGCCAACAGTTTGTCATTTTTTATGAAGAAAAACCTGCGGAGTCAAATGTTTTGTTTTTCATAATGTGTTTACACTATTGCAATGTTATACATTCTTTGGAACAGTAAGTGTTATTCCGGAGCCTTGCTTTATGTTGATTTATAGATCTCATAAAACACTGTACATGCATTGCAGATTTCTATTATAATAAATTGGAAAACAGATTGTGCTTTTTCTACAATACATTAGTAGTAGACAGTGAGTTAACAGGAAAATAAAAATGTAACAAGAAAAAAATTTTTTTTAGGTCCCCAGAAACTATCTGTAATACTAAGCTTGGATAAGCCTGTTATTTGCTCTCTGGCAGCAGTAATTGCATATCTTAAAGAATTTAATTTGGAAAGGATGCTTTACGATCCAAGGTAAGTTGCCTTACATAAACTCCCAATTCGAATCACCATTTCCTATAAGTGTTAGCAGGCATCTTCCCTGACTGCAATGAACACACCTACTAGAGCGATAAACATAGTCTTTGTAAAAATTATACCTTACTTTTGGTCTCCTAATCAGAAATTGAAAGAATCAAGGGATTTCTTTAAGTGGTGTTTCATGAAAATCTTCATGAAGTGTTTGTGTAGATATGACTGTCAGTAATGTGAATTAATATGTAGTGCTGCCAAGTGTTACTGAAAACAAACAAGGTGCAAAAACTGGTAAATACTAGGGAGGAAATTTTAAAGTTTGTTTATATCAGCTATCACATCTCACCTCAGTAAACCAAATGTAGGGCTTTTTTGGGCAGCTTTAAAAAAAATTAGTGCTGTAACTTAGCTTTGCAGATGTTTTATTTTGCCAGCAGTGTGTAAATAATTTCTTCTTTCTGTAGTTCTGGAAGCAGATACAAATACTAGTGTGTTGTTATGTTTAGGCAGTACTCAGCAGGCAACTTTGAGTTGGCAAATCTAGTTATCAGTTATAAAGAAAACATGCATTTGGCATATCCTAGGTTTCTGGAAAATCCCTGGACTATCACCATTTGTGCAAAACCACACAGACATGGGTATACCTTGTCTTCCCTTAAGCAATCTCAACCCTTTGGTTTATTAGATATGCTCAAATGAGCACTCAAAATTTGTGACAGGATTATGCAGGTGGAAGCAAATGAAAACAGAAAGATATCATTGCTCAAGTTTCTCTTTTCCTGTGTTGCACTGAGTATAAAACACTGCTATCGTACCTTGCACAAGCATAAAACACTGGTATCCTACCTGACTGAGCTTTGAAAATACCATTGGGGCTTATTAAATAAAACAACTTTAGCTGTCATGGATCCTGTGCAAAGTATTCTGCTGATTGTCCCAGTATTCCTCTGTTCCATAAGTAGGCAGGATTTAGGGAAGTCAGTCTGGCTGCAGACTGGAAACTTAAAAGCATGTCATTTGTAGGTCGTTCACATGTTGTCTGAGTTTTAAGTCTGATTTTGAAGGGCTCCCTACCTTGCTAGTTTTGTTACAATGCAGCTGCATTTAAAAAATCAACTGCAGATGCCAGCTTTAAACACTTTTGCATGTGTCTGCTAAAATGTTTGGAAATTATATATACATGGGTCTTCTGGATTTTGGGGTGGATTTTCTTCCTTAAGTTGCCGTTATCCACTCCAAGTAGTATTTAAATGTTAACAAAAAGTTTGATGGGCTTATAGAGCTAATGAGGAAAGAATTCCTGTGGCATCTTCACTGCATCATCCATCAAGGAGCTGATCTGTGGTGCTCCTGCTAATACTCTTTGGTTGACTTTTTTTTATCCTGTGTGGGTTTTTAATGGTTTTTTTTTGGTGGGATTTTGTTTGTTTTGGTGGGGGCTTTGTTTTTTTATTTATTTTTTAATATGCTTGCAGGGGTTAAGAAATCTTTTCGTAGAGTTTCCAAAGAAGAAAGTGGACTCCAAGGAAATGCCATTTCATGGTTACACTTGCAGGTCACTGCTGTCACAGTGCCCTTTGTGCAATCACACGTGAGGTGAATGTTCTTTCAGCTGGAGGAAATGCAAAATCCACCTTTTTTGTAGAAGTAATTGAGAACTAGAGGAGAAACCTCATTGTGTGAAGGCTTATGTAGCAGCAATCAGTCACATTTGTAACAGCTGCATCCTAAAATGAAGTACAATTATCAGCTGGGAAGGAAAAGCACTAATTCTTGGCATTGACATTTGCCTGCTGAAGGTTGTTCTAATGGATTTTTTGTGAATGTATGAACATCTGAGTGAAGAGGCAAAAAACTACTCAATATCCTGGAGATGCTCTGTGAAGAAATAAAATACACTGTTTGAGAAATCCGTGTAGTTGGGAGCTCGGAATCCAATGTGTTTATTCCTAAAGCCTTTATGCTTTGACTACCCGATACTGAGTTCTACTTGCTGTTTTTAGCGTGTCACAGGTATTGACATAGTGAGACAAATGCTGAGGCAAATTCCAATCTTTTTCCTAATGCCAGTGACATACTATCTAAAAACTGAAAAGTGAAAGACTTTTAAGCAAAGCATGTCAGGCTCATGAATCTTCTGAATTAGGAAGCAGAGAAGAAATACTTCCATTGCACTGTCAAGCAACTTAAAATTCCTAGAAGAATTCAGGTCAGTGAGCATGAAGTTGGAGTTGTGAGATAGTTTTGGGTTTTTTAAAGTAAGTGACACAGATCTGGATGAAGACCTATTTGATAGGAAGAATGACAGAAAAATTCATTACACCTCTATACCTTCTTTGGATAAACACTCTTCTCACAGCTGAAAAGAATTCCATCTCTATTTAGTAGTGAGACTTATGAAACATCATGTAAGGGATAACGAAACCTCATTGGTGGAGGGGGAGCAAGTTTTGTTCTAATATTTAGATGAAGCTTTTGAAACTACTTTTAAGATCCTAAGTAAGGGAAAATACTAAAAAGAAATAAAGATTTCTGTCGCAGCAGGACCTCAGGGTATGACTGGACCGTATCAGAGTTCTAACAGCAAGTAAAAATAGATTTAATAATGAATGATACAAGGTGTTTTTAATCAATGTGCTCTAATAGCTTTACATAATGAGAGACCTTGATTAAAGGCTTTTGTCAGGAAGTTGGTGCACATATAGGAGAGGTTTTCAAATACATTTGAGACCCAGTTTTGCTTGAAAAATCATCATTTGCACAGCAGTTGCTGGGAAGATGTGTCTCAATGTATTTTGATTTTACTTATATGTTTTCCAGCATATTGGAAGTGGAAGAGAGAGTTGGTAGATTTTGAACAGTGAACTTAAAGAAATGCAGGGAATGGTACACAACACAGAATAGTGCCAAAAGTAGCCTTGTGGCACTATTCATTCATGTTTTCAAACCTGGTTAATTAAACTCAAAACAGAGTCTAGACTCGATGTCCTTTGCTACTTAGACTGTGGTAATGCCATTCATACCTAACAAAAACTATGCTTCTACAAAATGGAGAGACTTGTTTTTATTTCTTAAAGCTTTTAGGGATTCCTGCAACTCTTGTCTATATCAGTTTATTCTGTGGTTTATTCACCCTCAGAGATCTTGAAGACATGGACTCTAGAGCTCTGTAAAAGGTAATTGAGCAAAGAAGATCTGCTTTCAGTACAGCGCCTTGCATGTTCACTTAGAAATTCTACAGATTTCCAGAATTAAAGTAGTTGAAAACTACTGATCTGAATACCATGCATTCACTTAGGCTGGGTTACTGAGTGTGAAATTACATGTAATATCTTCTGTGCAGAGAATAATGAAGAAAGCATTAAAAAGACTGTTCACTGCAAGCTTCTCTGCAGGCAAAATCACAGAATGGTTTGGGTTGGAAGGGACCTTAAAGCCCATCCAGTTCCACCCCCTGCCAGAGGCAGGGATACCTTCCACTATCCCAGGTTGCTCCAAGCCCCATCCAACCTGGCCTTGGACACTTACAGGGATGGGACAGCCACAGCATCTCTGGGCAACTGTGCCAGGGCCTCACCACCCTCACAGGGAACAATTTATTCCTAAAACTAAATGTCTCCTATTTTAGTTTAAAGCTTCCCCTTGCCCTGTCACTAACTGCCCCTGTAAAAGTCAGTCACTCTCTTTTTTTTATAAGCCCCCAGTAAGTAGGGCCACAGTGACCAAGATCATCCAGTTTCAGCAGTAACACGTGAGAATTGAAGCCTGAGGACGTAGTTTACTGTCCTAAAGCAGTCACAGCAACCCTTTCATACTCATTTTCTTGTGTGGTTCTGCTCTGAAAAGTCATTTTATGGTAGGAACCTCTTTGTCATGAGTATTCCCCATAAGATTCCTAAACTTTCCTGGAAGTTTGTGTTTGTTTCCTCTTTTCCTTTTTCCAAGCCCAGAAATGACACGATCCTACAGTGCTGTGCTCCTCAGTTGCCATCTGTTTCCATCACTTGTGTTTTGTGCTCTTGAAGTGCGTGAGACCGTTGCAAATCTGTTCTTTGAAACATTGTCACCTACAGAAGGAGTTATGTCATTGTGATCCAGTCCAAATGGTCTTTGAAGGGTCATTTCTAGTGGTTCAAGAGGTGGCTGATAGCAGTGCATTAGCATTTCACACAAGGATTGTGTTGAGACCTTTGCTGCAAAACCAGCACTGACTTAATAGTTGTTTACAGCCTATTCTTATGCCATTTGATCTCTAAATTCCCTACAAAGAGTCTGTTCTTTTCACATTTTACCAAGTTCTGATCCCAAGCTGAAGGAAGATGAGTGGGTGGAAGCAAAACATGTTCTGAGCTGTGACATCTGGAATTGTTGGTTGGGCATATACTGCACTTGATCCTGACTATTATTCATATACTCCAAGCTCTCAATTACCATGATTAATAGCAGGGTGAAGTAACTCAGATAAAGAAAACACCTGGATAATATAAGACATACATAATTTTGCTGTGAAAACAACTTTTGCTTGTCTGATTCTGAATGAATAGTAAATACACTGTGCAGTGGAACAGAGTGAGTTGTCTTCAGATACTCCAGTGTGGTCTATGTTAAGTGCTCTAAAGCCAGGAGAAGTGGGGAAGCAGCAGAACCAGTAAATCCTCCCTAAAGCATCCTTTCCACTTTTGAGAAGAGGTGGAAAGGCTTGATTCTCACCCAGCTGGGTTTAAGAGATCACAGAGTCGAGTTGTGGCAAACTGGAAAACAGTGGTTTAGGTAGTCCCAGGAGCAAAAGAGGTACTTTCAGAAGAGCAGGTAGGATTTGTTGTTGGCTGTAGGCATGGGGAACCAAGCAGAAACCATTCCTAAATAATTTTTGCCAGCATCAGCAGTTGTGACTAAAGATAATAAAAGGAAGTGGTGTTTTATTGCTTACAAGTTTGTGTACTTTGGAAAGTATTGTGGGTTTTGCCTCCAGTGTTTTGTTTTCCTGGTCAGTTTTGTTGGTTGCTGGAATAGTACACAAAGCAGACTAATTATAACTATGGATACAGTTCTGAGTCAGCTGTACTTCCAAAAGATCATTAAACTTCTTGAGGGCCCTCAGTTGAATCTGCTTTTTCTTTTCAATTCTGTAAAAAATACATCACATTTGACCCATTAGTTAGGAAGAAATTTGCCAGCAGGCCCAAACACCTGCATACAACATAAATATATAACATTAGTCTCTGAATATTTCATGTTTCTGGAAGTTTTGGTATTGTTTTTGTTTTTAATATAGCAGCTATGTGTGCCTAACAGAAAAGTTTGAGCATTCGCATGCTTCTCCAGAGGGTTTAAAATCGAATACACTGAAAAAAATTCTGTGAAAGGTCAAGAAAAGAGTTTTAAATCCTGTCCAGCAAGTTATTCTGCTTAATCTAAGACAATAAAGAGTGTCCTAGATTCTATGCAAAGGGCAGTCAGCAGTATGATTAACCTAGACAATCATGACTTGGTTTGTCAGAAGCATTTAGTGAGGATCTTGCACTTAATGGTTCAAACTACAACGTGTGTGTGTGTGAGACTGAAATAATTTTCATATCTAATATGATTACACATCTAACACAATTGTTTTTTTGGTATTGATTCTAAAGCAACACAGCCTTTGGGTTGGTCTTATCCAGTTCTGTTAAGAAGTATCAAAAGGTCAAGTAATTTTGGTCATGGTTATTTCACATCAAAACCAAAATCAAATAGTTTAAATGTACTATATATTTATTTTCCTAAATAATTGCACTGGTAGCGTGTTTAAATTTGCAGTAGTAATAAAAAAAAAGAATATGTGTTTTGATATGCTTTTTTGATGATGAGTTGTGTTAAAAATCTGTTCCACTCCTGAAGTATTGATTATTAGTCCAGTCTCTGCTTAGTTGTAGACTAAATAAATTAGCCATTTAGTGTCAAAGGATTAGATAACAGGAGAGCTGGATTTTATTCTGAACTTTGTCAGAGTCATTGCCCAGAAACTTGAAAGTGAGTCTTAAACAAAAGAAGTGAGTTTTTTCCAAACAGTAAGTTAAATAAGTTATTAGTGTTCAGTTCTTTTATTTAAATAGATTTTGATTTCTTAGTTGACTTTTTAAATTTATTTTGCATAACTATTGAATTATCTAACATGAGGAATTTAGCAGTGTTTCACTGTTCTGTTTGTGCCTGAATTAAAGATATAACATATGAAATTCCTCTCCCCAGCAATTTCAAACAGTTGTCCAGTGAAACTGAATACATGACAATTAATGGGACAACAATGAAAAATCTTGAAATTTTGCAGAATCAGGTAAGGACAAACATAACCTTTTAAAATAAAAGCTGCCTTCCCAATGAACTTGGTTAAATTGTTTTGCAAATTTCACCCATAAAGCTTAAATTACTTTAAATGGGATCGGACTGAAGGTGGATCACATTTTCAGAGGCCTAAATCAAAGGTCATCTGTACTGGCTTTTAGTATGACTTAGGAACCTTACTGTACTTGGACTAGCAAAGAACATGAGCAACTTAAGTTCTCGAGCAAGAACTGCTGTCGAGGGATATGTCTGTAGTAGGGTCTTTTGCTCCTGCTGAGAGCTTTATGCAGAGAACTTAACTTCACTTTCTTAATTTCTTCCAGTCAATTACTAAAAAGATTTTCTGGCTAAAGGAAAAACATACTTAAATATTTTACAACTCTTGGAGGTACTTTATGTAACACATTGTTGATGGGTGAGATTGGTAAATGAACATGCAGTTAGCATATCTTAAAGAATATACGAAATGGTCTATATAACGTGGTGGAGATCCTTCCACTACAATACTGACTGCTCAGCTAAAAATAATGAAGCTGTTTTTATTATTTTAGACTGACATGAAAACAAAAGGAAGTCTGTTCTGGGTCTTGAATCATACTAGAACTTCCTTTGGACGTCGAAGACTGAAGAAATGGGTGACCCAGCCTCTCATGAAATCCAGGTGAGATAGTTCTTTATCCTGGTATAAATCTGTGTTTTACAGTGGTGATGCTGAATGTATTTGTTTGTCCTGAAGGCCTGAGACCCGCAGGAGATTTTGCTCAGGAAATTATACAGTGGAAGATGTGGATGTTATAAATCAGTTTGAAAGGCTTAAACTGCTCTGTTTGGGCACAGATAAATAGTAGTGTGTTTGGACCAGGGTAGAAATTCTTTTGCAGAAGTCAGATTTGGTACCATTCTAAATCAGTATCCTTTTTGACAATGAAAGAGGATGACTGAGTATTGGAGGTTGTTTTATTCCTAAACTTGCCAATAAATGATGGATGTCTTCCTTGCTTCACAAGTATTTACATCCTTAATATGTTTAATTTCTTCTAAAGTAGTTGTGGATGTTTTTGTTATCCCTGTATACAATGTATGGCATGGGGAAGTGTTCCTTTTTACTAATTATGAAATTTGATCATTGTTTGGTCACTCCTGTATTTTGACCTATCCTTTATTTATCAGTGCTTTAGAAATGTTTTATTTTGTAACAGTGTCATGCAAATTTTCACTTGCCTCAGTTTTTACAGGGACTCGATCATTTGTGGTTTTTCTTTGCAGACTTTATTGGAATATTGTACCTGAATGGGTAGTAACTGACAGTATTGACTCCATGGGATGTTTTTTCCCTACATTTTAAGTTTTTGGATCTATTCTTTTAAATGTGCCTTTCCTCAGCATTGTTCATGTAGAATTTACTTAACTGTAAATAATGTCCTTGTTTCCTTCAGCTGTAGCATACAGAAAATCGTTTGGGGCTGGTTATCTACAATATTTTTCCCCTCTGTTTTACTTTTGTAAATATATTAAACAGTGTTTATGTTTATTATTTTTCACCAGTTTTAAATGGTGAGGTAATTCAGTGTTTTTGCGTCTTGCTGTTGTTGGTAATTTACAAATGTTTCTTCAGAAGGATTTTTTTTCTTTCTTTCACGTACAACTTTTGTATGTGAAAGCACTGTACTTCTGAAGCATCACTGCTTAATTTTCTTATTAGCCTTTTGTAATAAGTTAATTTCAGTGTGCCTTTCTTTTTTTAATTCTTCTTTCATATCTCTTACCCACCTCCAAAAGGCTTTTGATGTAACTATCCTAAAAAGTTCTGGGCTTCATGGAAGTTAATTAGGGCCTTATTTTCACCTAAAAAGCATGTAGGCCGAATTTCTGAGCCACTTTGTGGGAATAAATGGAAATAAATTCTCTTCCTGCCCTTATGACCTTTTGGGATTTGTGGAGTTGTCAGTGGAGGGAGCCAGAGCTCTGAGGATGGAGAGCTGGGGAGGACTTGTCTCCAGCCATTTTGCCCCCAAATCATCCCCTGTGTGATGCAGTAGGTGAAATACCATTCCACAGTAAAACAGAGTCCTTTTCTGGGCACAGCAGGTAGAAAACTGCTTGCCTGTGGACTCCAGGCATTCTTTTTTAACCAGTATATTTAGTTTAAATATAAATTCTCCCTTGCCTCAGTGCAGAACTAGTTTAAAAGTTTGTAGTTTTGCTTTCTTGTCTTATTCCTTTTCTCTTTCCTGCCTCTAGAGAGTGATGCTTGACATTTTTCAGGCTTCTGTGGCTGGTGATGACAGTACTCCTCAGCTGAAGTTAGAAAAACTACTTTGCTCTGTGTATTTCTCCCTTTCTGACTCTAAGTTGTAATTTCATGTACTTAGTGCATCAGACATCCGGTAATATTGTTCCCAGTAATGCACACAAATGCACTTAGAGAACATTCTGTAATTGTAATTCACTTGAGCCTCCTGGAGAGACATTTTCAGAGGAAGTCAGGTTACTGTACTGCATCTTTCCCAGTCCGTGGGTAGATGTATCAAAAAGTGAGAGGGTGTAATTACTGCTTTATGCCTTAGAGTTGAAAATCACTTGGAATGATGACTAAACTTCCTGTGGAGAAGCCATACCTTAGGTTGAATAAAGGTAAAATGTGTACAGAGAGCTCATTTGGGCAAACTTGAAGATACTATTCAGATGATTGGTGATGTAGCACATGTAGAGACAAGATTTGTACATTTTTTTAAAAAAGTCCAAGAAAGGCTTAACTGGGAAAGGTGTAATGTCCTCACTTACTCACCTGTCTATACAAAGATGATGAGGCAAGAGTAGATCAGTCATTGATGACTGAGCTTTTTAGGAGGAATCAGGAAAGTAGTTTTTTGCAGAAGTTACATATTTGTGGATTACAAAAACCTTATCTTACCTCTGAAATTCAAGTTCCATCCAGTGCCTTCCTTGCCTGACTTTGTAAAGAGAGTGGAAAGAAAAGAAAAAATGGAAGGCTTGGAACATTTCTGAGTGAATGAAATGTGCAGTTTCCCAGTCAGGCAGTGGAGTTTCAGCACAGTAAGGAATAGAGCTGTGTATTATCACACTTAGCAGGGCTCACAGCTGGCCTCAGGATACAGTATTGTAGCACAGTGTGATCTTTGTGTCTTTGTTTATGTGCAATATTTACAAATAGTTTATTTCCTAATGCAAACCCTCTGGAGAAGCATGAGAATGCTCAAACTTTTCTGTTAGGCACACGTAGCTGCTATATTAAAAACAAAAACAATACCAAAACTTCCAGAAACATGAAATATTCAGAGACTAATGTGGTTCTAGTATTTTTTGTCCCCCATTTCCTCCAGTTCTGGATGAGATGATGGTTTTACTGAGGTGGAATTGAAGCCTTGTAGGATGGTATTGATAATTACCATTAGTCTGAGTATGCTCTGTCTGCAACAGCATAGAATGACTGTAAATTTAGGAAATTCAGAACTGTTCAGGACTGCTGACAGCTAAAAACAGTTAAAGTTTAAACTATTAAAGAAGAGGAAGAGTGTAAATTTGTATTACTGATGCAACATGACTTTTATTTGGAGGATATGTGCTGTAGAATGGGGTACAAGAGGGTCTTTTTGCTGTGATGTTGGCAATGACATCTTTTCTAATATAAAATATTATCTTGTTCTAAATCCTCTCTCTTTGAATGCAATGAGTGCTGTTTTATTTATACTTCTATACATGAAGTACAATCCTAAAGGAGAGTCTTTCAAGATTGACTTTGGTCTTGTTCCCATAATTAAAATGTTGGGGCAGTAAAACAAAGTTCCAAAAGATCCTTGAAGAAACCAGTTTAATTCAGAATTAAACTGATTGGCATTTGATACTGTCATCATCCTGAGCAAGATTAGAATATAATTCTTTTTTTGCAGCAGTGATTTATGAATAAAATCCACCAATCCTACAGCAGGGCTAAATTTTCCTCCTAAAAATAATGATTTTATAGCATCAGTGCCAGTATATAATGCACAAGTGCAGGTTACAGCATATGCCTGAGATCTCAAGATTGTTGTAGAAAAGAAAAAGATTGCAGCATCATCGCATGTGTTCATTCATTTTTGCTAGCTGTGTTTTGATCCCACTGAATGCTATGTCTAATTCCTTATCAATGGAGCAATCAGGCCTTCATTCACAGTGGCTAAAGTGGCCAACCATTCCCTTTTTTGGCACAAATAGCTGAAAAACATTGTGTATGAACATAAACAAAAGTGTTTGATTGCCATTTGCATATCTTGAACGTCCTTTTAACAGATGTGAAGATAAAGTTTAGAGTACTTGTATACTGCTGTTAAGTATTTGAGATCCATTCAGGAATACTGTCCTGCATATTTATTTAAGGGAACACTGGACCTTTCTGGAGAGGCTTGAGACATTAGGAGTTTGGGAAGTAAAAAGTGAAAAACGAGTGAGCAGATTCAGAAGGATGTTAATTTTTTTAGGTTTCACTTAGATTTCACTCTAGTAAATGTGGTATTGTTACCCTTGTTTGTACTTTTTTCATTGGTGCCCATGCATGAAATTCCAGGGGTCACAGCAAAAATTAACAAATCTTTATTCATCCCATGAAGTTAGCCAGTGTCTAACTTAGATACTTGGGTAAAAAAGCCTGGAGAGGAAGGGAGCACCCAGGATGTGTAGATGCAACAACAGAAGTCAGAGGGTCTGCAAAAGTTAATAAAGTTTTATTAGTAAATGACACACTTGGCAGGGAAATCGTGTGTTAGTCCCTCATCTCCTGTTGTAAGCACATGGCAGTAGGGTTTGAACAGAGGGGTAGGGTGGAAGGGAAATGAGAGAGGGAGATGGATTAAAGAGGGGGAGAAAGAGAAAGAGAGAGAGAGATCACTACTTCTGGCTCCAGCATTGGTGAAGCTGGTAGGGTATGCAGGGTCCTGGGGTGCCCAGGCTTTGAGGGGGCACCTCTTTACAGATAAGTTTCCCTGTCCTGGAGATCAGTTCCTTGCTTTCTATGCAAATTAGTTCTCATACACAGTCTGTTCCAGACTTTTCTGGAGATAGGTTGGAGGCTTCAGGGGCATTTGGTGTTCTTGATCCGTCATACAGTCTGTGTCCATCTTCTGGCATCATTCCTGTGCTCTGCTGTCATTCTCTCTAACAGCAGAACAAGGATATTTGTCCAGAAAAGTGCTGCCCTGCCTCTGCATGGCCCCTTCTCCAGCCACAACAATCCCTGGCTGGCATTGCCAGCATCCCTGGCTGGTTCTGGAGCCAGCTGGCTGTCAGTGTTTGACACACACACTTTATCCCCCTGACCTTCCAACTTCTGCAGTGAGCCAGTTTTTTATCTACTTGTTCTTTGAAAAGACATACACAGCTTATAGATTGCACTGTGGTAATTCTACCACAGCCTTGGGTTTTGATGGCATTAGTTGCTTATTGTGAAAGGGAGTGGTCTGAAGCTTAAAACCCTCTGTACAGTTTAACATGGTCTTTAACTTAATCAACTCACCCAAAGTCTTCATTCGTGAAGTGTGTTCTGAAGGAAGGTCAGAAAAAAAACATAATGTGTGAGTAACTTAAATAATATATTTTCATTCTTTACAATGCTGTAGTTAGGCTACTAGGCTTTGGTTTAGATAATATAGTTTATGTAAATTAGCGTTTAATGTTTCATACCCTTCATTATGTTTTTTAAGGGTTGAATTCCTGTGACTGACAGTTCTACCTATCACTGTGGTCTCTAAAGAGATTTAATAGAATTAATTTCAGTTGTACACACTGTACTTGAGCTATGTCCTCAGCACGATGAATAGACTCATACTGTGTGCATTTATTGTAAGTTAATAGACTTCTGATAAATTTGTATTTATTTACCTTGTATAAAAATAAAGAGTTATATGAATGAAAACGTTCTCTTGTTTTTATATAGCAACTACATTATCAGTTTCACTCTGCCTCAAATGTAATTATATATTATCACATCTAAAAATGTCAGGTTTGCTTTGCTGTAGGAGATCAGCAGATCTGTTACCACTCCAACAACAAGCAATCCTATTTAGACTGCTCAGATGTCAATTCAGCACAGTGCTTTTGGATCTGCAGCCTTCTGCTTTCTCAAAATAATTTTTAGTTTGGGATTCAAATATCTCTGTATTTTCTAATTTTTTGTATTGTTCACATATTTAGCAGCAGAATAACACAGGGGAGTATCTTGTTATATCATTTCAAGTAGTTCTTTTAAATGACTAGAATAAAAATTCTGCAGTTAGATTTTGTTCTGTTTAAATACACTGCAAAGTGATGTTTGTATTGTATTAATGATGCTATTCTTAGATGGGGAGTACAGCAGAAGTAAGTGTATTGCTTTTAGTCAACTGAATTATGTTACATTATTTCACTGAAGATTGTTTGGAAAATTGGATAAAGCTCAGATTGCTGCCATGCTTTATACAGATGAGAAAGAACAGGCTAATACTGCACCTAAATAGAGCATGAAGTAGTAGCCAGTTTGGCTGGCTGTTGAGTTTCTTTGTATAGTGTTAGATTCAGATTTTCTGGGGGTGAAATTCTTTTCCAGACCATGCAGAGATTAGAAACTCCAGACTGTAATTCATATATGCTGAATAGCTGCAATGCAGAAAAGATTTCTTTTGAGATGGTTTAGCAGCTGATCAGTGCAATATGTATATACTGGACCTCAATGAAATATTCATTAATTTAAGTATATGTATTTAAAGTTTAAAAGCATACTTTGAAATTCATCATCTGTTTTTATCATCTCATCCCAGCCCCCCCTTCCTCATCAACATCATATTTCACACAATTTTTTGCTGTACTTCCTGTTTGAAATAGGAACCCCACTATGTTTTTTTACAGGTGGGAAAAAAATGGGTCATTCGGTATTGAATGCCATTTTCCTGACCCTTTCTTGTTTGTAGGATTAAAGCAAAAAAAACTGTATGGATGCTTAGTTTTAGATTACTGGATCTCCAGTAACACAGCCATATGTGAGGATGATTAAAGTGCAGATTAAGCTTTGTAGGGAGAAGTTTTTCAAATATTTGTTCTATTTTACATACTACTGCAAGTTTTCAGTTGACCGCGTAGATATAATAGCACTGTTTAAATCAAGTGACAGAGTTGTGCTACTTACAATGCCTTTTATAATAAAAAAATACCAGTTGTTATCTTCTGTAAGGTACATATGTTTATAATTTAACAGTTCAGTACTCCTTCCTGCAGAGGAGTGTTCCATGGTCTCAAGTACAGCAAACTTTAATAATTTTCCATGAAAATGTAACTGTGTCTGGTTACACTGACCTTTTAGGGTATCAGTGTAACTGTTTGCTGCCTTTAGAGCTGTGTACTCTGGGTGTTTTATTACTCTGTCACTGATACTGACACTTCTCCATTCCCTCTCTGTTATCCAGCTGTTGCTGAGAGTGTCTCACTAATTAATGCACAAGACTTAAATCTCTGCCACCTAGAATGCCCTGTGTGGGTGCCAAGAGCCTGATGTTTGATTGTTTGGGTTGCATAACTGTGACTCTGTCAGCGCACACCAGATCCGTGATCGCAGCTCTGGGATTGGATTTAAGGCTGTGCTGCTGCTGCTGCTGCTTCCAGGTCTCTTGGCTGCCCAGAGGAACAGAGAATGTTTGACTGTGTGCATTTGGCACTGCTGGAGGAGTGGTGTTCTTGTGACCTGCAGCAGGGCTGCCAGGCACTGGCTGTGAGGTCTGACCCTTCTGTTTTCTTCAGGCTTGACGGAAAAAAGCAGTCTTTTAGGTTAGTGGAGTATTTTTGGTCTCTGGTGCTATCAGGGAGTCTGCTGTGCAGTTCAGAGATAACAGTGAGTTTCCAAGGTGTCCAAGGTCCAGGCACCAGAGGCTGTCCCCAGTTCACACAGGGGCACTGGAAGGTCCATCTACCTGTGGTCCAGGCAGATGGCGGGACAGTGCAAATCCTGGTGTTGTACAGCAGGGCTGCTCTGGGGATGAAGGTGTGTCATTTGTGGCAGAGGAGGGGATGGTTTGGCTGCTGTGGTATAAAGCAATGTGTCACTGGAGGAATCCCGGCACTGAAGTGCTGTTACATTTATGTTTATCTGGGTGCCCACTCATTCCTGATGTTCTCCATTTTACATGCAGTGCAATAAAATTTAAGAACTCTTAGATTTAGCTGTCTTCAGAGCCAGAGGCCTCTGACTGCCAGGCTCTTGTAATGTCTGCAGCCTGTGGAGATGCCTGATTTCACTGATTTCCTCATGGGCAGCATTTGGTAGCAGTGGAAAGTGGCACAGCAGTTCTGCAATATGGCCAAGACAGACAATCTCCCCAAAATCTTACATTTTTATCGCATCCTTACTTCCTATTCCTCTGTGCTGGCTGAGCTCAGAGCATCTCAGTGGTCCAGGAGAACAGGTGTGGGGGTGTTTTTAACACACTTGGCTGGTGTATGAAGTGTTGATATCAAAAGACTGATTTCTCTGTGAACTGCGTGGTGGGGATGAACCCACCATGTTTTGGATACACCCATTTACCCCTACTCTCATTTTTTTTTCTAGAAAGCAGCAATAAGGCAATTTGGTTACACAAAAAGAAGAAATAGTTTACCTTATCTCTGCATTCTTCAGCCAGTCCATGCATATGTTGGAAATAGATGTAGATTTGGTGTGAAACTTGACAGTAGTTCATTTTTACAGCTCTTTTTTTACAGTGGCTTTAAGAATGATTGAAATGAAGGTGCAAAGAACCACAGAATTGTTTTTTCATGTAAAAAAATGTTTTCTTGTTAATTTACTTCAGTCCTGAAATACAGAGATTATTGTTACAGGTTTAAAAAAAAAAAAAAAAAAAAGTAAAAAGCCCAGCATGGTTTGATCCATGTAATTACCAATCAGTGGTCTGGATCAAATGTAGAGGGGTAAAACGGGAAGTAGTATGTACAAGCTGTTGGAATAAAGTATGTTGTGTAGAGTTCAAACGTAAACTCTGTCTGCCCATCCTTCAGGTATTTGTCTGTAAATTTAAGGTTGGATATTCAAGATTCAGTGTTAGTCATATTATTTACCATCAGAACTACATGTAGAATTGGGCACTGTAGTATATATTTGGCTATTTTGAGCACAGAGAGGAGAATGGATCTTACTTGCATTTTTAATAAAATCTCAAAATTCTCTGCATTCCTTAATTCTTCTACCTACCCTCTCATGAGGCTATGGCATTAGTGAAAGGTTAAAAAACCCCTAAAACAAACTGGAGGAACTGGTTCACTAGATGTATGCCTTCTACTAGAGAAACATAAGTGTTAATTATTGTCTTATTCTTTTACAGTGAAATAAATGCCCGGCTTGATGCTGTGTCTGAAATTCTGCTGTCAGAATCCAGCGTGTTTGGTCAGATTCAAAATCTTCTTTGTAAGCTGCCAGATTTAGAGAGAGGCCTCTGCAGTGTTTTTCACAAAAAGGTATAACCATAATTACCATGGGTTATTATTTTCTAAACAGCATCATTCTGTCCTAGAGTGTTTCCTTTGGGTTTGCATGTTTGTTTAAAAATGTTTTCTTCTTAGCAAAACTGATAAAGGGATGCAAGTTTATAAAAATTAGATTTGATAGGATCTTACTTTTTTATCAGTGATGTGCTGATAGAAGAAAGTATGAGTAGGGTTCTAGTATACGTACACCGCATTGCTAATGCGAGGAGGAAAACCATCTGTGGTACTAATGATTTAGCGGCTGGATTCAGTGAGATGAGATGGTGCAATAGGCCCTTGTGTCATAAATTATTATTTCCCTTTAAAACACAGCATTGCATCTGTATGCTTATCTAAAATCACACTTGCAGGTGAAACCACTTGGCTTCAGTTAGCTGTTTTCAAATGAATGTTAATCTGTTTATAAATTCTGTAGTTTGGATCTCACTTCCACATTTTAATAAGAATCACATGTAATGAGACACTGACAATTCCGAAGCAGATTAATGTGCTAATAGCACCTGTGCAGTACTTTTTGTTCTTTTATTTCACTGTTCTATTTATAGGTTTTGTCAGCTTGTTTTAGATAAAGGAATAGGTGGGTAGAACAAGAGCCAGGCTGTAACTTTTTTTGGATGGTACAGCACAAAGTTTTCCTCTCTCTGAAAATCTGAAACCCAGTTTTTTAAAGCCCTGTAGTGTTGCAGTGTTTGGCACATGGAAAAGCTTGTGTATTTCAGTGAATGGATACAGAGGTTCAGCCATAAGGTGGTGAAAAGAGGGAGTGTACACCAATTTGCCCATCCTCTAAAATGCACTATATTCACATGATGAAGCTGTTTGGATTTTTTTTTTCCAAGCAACTGCCCAGGAATTAGATAATTCACTTTTTAATGGTTAAATTCGTTTCAGGTTTCATACATAATACTGTCTCTAGGGGTATATCTGTATATCACGACATCCTGGCAGTGCTCTACTGCTACTATGTGGAGTTTTTTTGGTTTGATTTGTTTCCTTTTGGTTTTTTTTACATTCTATTTTTATTTTTTTTTTATATACTTGTTTCTTCATGTGTCCTTCCAGCTGTAGAGCTGCTTACCTTTCTCAGCTTTAAAGCTGATGTTTAGGCATAGCCATGCAGAGGTCCTGGACTTTCATGTGGTTTTTGAAATGAGGTGACAATGTAGTTTATCATAACAACAGCCACTGGAGCATGAAGATAGGTATTTAGTGAGTCAAATGTTGGAAAGAAGCTGCAGCAGAATCATTAAAAAGAGTAAATGAGGGGGGAAGAGCTCCAAGCACACACTTTTTGTTTGATGAATTGTCTTCCCTTGGTGAAAAGCTGGGTTGTCATCCATTGCAGAGCACAGTGGTGAGGACCTGGAGCACTGAATAATCCCTTTAGATTCTTAGGACTTTGAGGAGATAGCAGTGTCTGTGAGAGACAGGATCTGTTTGGAATAAAGAATCAAAAGCAGAGTCTAGACAGTTCCCTTTATGGAGCCTGAAGAAAGATCCCTGCAAAGCAGCATCATTCAAGAACATGGAATGACTGGTCTTTACAGATTTTTTTGTGGTTTTTTCCCCACCAGTGAATGCTGCCATTTTGGTTCCCACTACAGGAGCCTTTCCAGTTCAATTAATTCCAGATGTCCATCTCCCACATGGTCAAGTGCCCCGCAATGTCTTCCCCATTAAGTGATCCAAACTCCTAGTGGAGCTTACTGATGGCTTAACTGAAGGAATGTGCTTGTTAATTCACTGTCAGCTGCAGGAAAAATAGGTGAATGTGGCAAGTGTTTCATCCTTCAGGCTCTTTAGACTTCAGTGACATTAGTATTTGAAGAGCTGTGTTTAACAAGAAGACTCCAGAGTACAGAGATGGCTGGGTTGTCACAGTCAGTCCAAACATTTTTTGGAATGTTTTTTATGTTCAGATCAGTCACTGGAGAACTTTTATTGTGGAATGCACTTTGTGCAGTGACCTCTAGAGAAGACAGAAAACAATTAAGGTAAGACAATAGTCTGTAAGGCAAGGCATCCTTATGGGAACTCATCTGGGAAATAAGATCATTGTCTCTTTTGCTGGTCTGACTAATTTTTTTTTAATAAGTCTTATCTGGTACTACACCACCAAGAGCTATTGCTGATCTACCCCAGGTATAAACAGTCTGAAATTAGGACAGTATCTTTGTTGTGGGAATTAGGTTGTGTCTTGGAGGTCACAGTTCCAGCTGTAAGTTTGCCCTAGCCTGAAGAAGGACTATGGGAATGGTTGAGGAGACAAGAGCAGTATTGCTGTTGCTATGGAGAGAGGAGTTACATTCCAAGGGCTGGTGGTTCTTGGTTGGTGCAGCTCCAACACTTGACACTCACCAGGCAGACTGGCCTCGGTGCTCTCTCTGCAGGCACAGGGGTGACTGGAGTGGAGACGTTTGAAGACTTCTTGGTAGCACTCAGAAGTTGATTTCAAAAGAAACCCGAGAGACAGAAACTTTTCAAGAGCTTTGTCCAAAGAGTTCTGGAGCTGATGCAGCATTAGGTCCTGCTGAGATGGTGTTTTCCATACGCAGTTCAGCTCTGCCCTCCAGAGCCTTAAGAGAACCACCAAAATTTACACCACGTGCATTTCCTTCTGTGATCAGTGGGAAATATGAATGACAGGACCTCTTCTTTATCTCAGTCGAGTGATGAGTGTTCAGCCTTGCCTTAGAGATGCAGAATGGCAAAAGAGGGTCAGCGGACAATATTTGAACAGGGTTTAAAAATATTACAGGGTAAACAAGTCATTAGTACTTTTAGAAATGTGTCCTACAGGGCCAACTTGATGTTTCTTGCTGTTTTCATGCATTGTGTTTCAGAAAGTAAATGTTTATAGAGGCTCAATTGCTAAATGTTTATCTTATTTGTACCCTTTGCTCACAAATTTGTAACCTTTGTGACTAAAGCATAGTCACCAAAGTGGACAGAAGTCATCATAACAACTGGTTATTAAATTTACAGAGCAGATAAAAGTGAAGCTGTTTCACTGAAGGAAGTGTGACCAGTGATCAAACCTTACCACCACATGTGCTGAAATGTCATTTCAGTTTGTTCTGCTTCTAACTTCAGCCACAGGCTCTCCCTCATTCAGAGTTCCTTACAAGCTGTTGCAGTTGGGAAAACCTGTTCAGTTCTGAATGAGCCGCCAAAGCTTTGCTGCCCCTTCAGGTACCTGTGCAGAGTAAAGCAGGCAGGTGCTACAAGGTGGGGGGGATTTGCTGTTTGGCTGCCCACAGCCTCCTCAGGGCCAAAACTTTGCCTTCTGGTTTTTCAGTGAGTATTTCACTATTGCACTGGCACAGTCAGATTCCTCAGAGGACAAGGGTGCTGCTCAGCTGAGTGCCAAGACTTAAAATCTTTCACATAAGCTTGTCCAGCAGAATGATGCTGAAAACCTTCTCTGGAAGGTACATTTGATGTTTCATTGAAGAGGGTGTGATTTCAGAGGATTCAGAGGAAAATGTTGTTTTTCTGATTTTTCTTTTCTGTTATTAAATGAATACCTGTTATATATGTCGAAGAAATTAGTTACTATTTGTATAGAATGCTTTAAATCAATTCTCGCCATAGCATCATCTTTTGTAGACATTAGCTAACATATGTCTTGTATTTTTTGCTTTTTTTCCTTCTGTAATAATAGCATGCACATCTTGCATATACTGCACTTCTAAAGAATCTGCATCAGAGATATTTTTAGGTTTGCAATACTAAATGTGATTTGAGCAAATTGTTCCACATTAAACTGATTAATATAAAGTAATAACAAGGGGAGCAAAAACCTTAAGATTAAATACTTAATTTTTCTCAAATCATAGTATGTTCTCTATACTAATAAAAGTGTCTATTGCAGCTTGAAAGGCACAATAAATGTGTGCTGCATCAACTCTCATATATTTTTTTTTTTAATTTGAAATACTTTTAACTTGCAGTGAGTGGTCAGTGGCTGTCAGCCCTGCACGTCTGTTGGAAACATTTTCACTAATGCAAACAGGGCAGAATTTCTGTCAGTGTTGTTGAGAGGGTGTTGGATCTCTGTGATCTCTCCTGCATCCTCAGAGGCAGCCAGGCCATTTTCAGTAAACTCCTGGTTGAAACTATTGTTTGGCATCCTTGTCAACTCTGAGGTTATTTTTCTAATGCCAGAGAAGCTGTAGCTATTATTGGTGGCATCTCAAAACTACACTTCAAAAATAGCATTGAATAAGCTTGTGAGAATCTTCTGTGAATGCCAGACTGTTAATCCTGCTTTATGTAAACCATTTTTACTGTATTTTAAAAGCTTCTAATTTGTAACACAGTTGTATGCCTTTGTAAAGTTGCTTGGGACTTAAATGGAATCAGTCCTACTTTAATGGAACCCAGCTTTTCAAAGTTGTTTTTATGTATCTCTTCCAAGTTATGTCTTTGCTCACTGAATTATTTCTGCAGCGGAGACATTAAACTTTAGATGCAAAGTCCTGCACTCTCCTGGAGCCAGGGGAAACAGTAATATTCTGAATAAGCACAAAAGGAGAGTGCCCACCCCTTTTTTGGGAATGCTCTGTTTGACAAGGTTATTTGCAGTAAAGCTGAATTTCCCTTACTCCAAAGGTGCTGTTGACCGTAGTCGTAGAATCAAATAGGTTTTAATTCACTAGGTGACTGTTACAGTGTGTGGGCCATCAGAGTTGCTGTGACAAATTTCAGCATGTTCATTAAGCATCTTTTGACATATCTCATGGTAACTCTGAGGGTTATTTGAATTGTAATCCAGCTTTCTCTTCTTACTGAAGGCTCATGTTCATCGGCCTCACCACCCTCACTGCCAAACTCCTCAGACAGGTGTTTTCACATATTCTCAAACACTTTTCTCTTTCCCACACTTCTATATATCGTGTATTAATTAAGGCCCTGTTTAATTCCTTTTTTCTTAAAGAACATTTAATAAAACCCAGCCAAATATGCACCACCTATTCAACTGATGTATTTCTTACTGTCCGTACTTCCTCATTCTTTTCTGGACATTGCTCTCCCATGAATCAGCCTTTGCCTCCCTGAGTACGTTTTGTAGTCAAGGGAAGTCTGGCAGAATTTTATCCCTTATCTGCATCAGTGTTGATGATGATGATGACATCAGTCATACTGTATTTTACTTTGACTTTGAGTCCAAGCCTGAGTTTATCATTTATTTAGTCTTTCAGGCCTTCCCTTTGTGCTTTGACTTAAAATGCCATTGGCAGATTTACTGCTCTATTATTTTGTTTTATTTTGTTGTCAGAGTTTTTGCAAGGTAGGAGAAGTAAGTCCCAGATTATCAGAAAGATGATTATAAATTGCAGCAAGTGCAGAGGAAACCCAAAGTTTGCATGAGGGTGAATAATAGATGACTTATGAAGAAAGACTGAAAGACCATTTTTTTTGTTAAATTGATGATTGAAGGAGAACAGAAGGCTGAGAGGTATTTGAAGGACGTTAACAGCAAAGAAGCAATTGAGTAACTGCTACAAAAACCTAAAACTAGAGATATTTGGATTCATTTAATGGAAGGGAAATTTAGGCTATCTGATAACACTTTTACAGGATGCTTTATGGATTAGTGGTAAGCACATGGTTTCTTGGAATATAAGAGCATACAAAAAGAAAACTAACACAGAAAAATTGGAGCAGTTTCAGGAAACCACCTGAAGGGTCTCTTCTATCCCTAACTCAGTGATTCTGTAAAAGAGGTGAGCTTAGGTGTTCCAGAAACATTCAGAATATAATCTCTGTAGCCTTCCTGAATGTCATGAAATACCACGGTTAAATTGCATTTTTGTTAATACTTGCTTCTGTGTTTGGGTATAGTCATTATTTGAGAGAAATAACTATACAGTTATAGATGAGAGAATTGTCTTGGTTCTTGCATATGGGTGTGGGAAGGAAAGAAAAAGAAAAATTTACTTCTGGGGAGAAACTGAAAGGATGACAAAATTAAAATGTAGATATGTTCTGTGAAATAGTGATTCACTGAAACCTACACATTCTGTAATCAGTGTTGTATTGATCGCCACCAAATCCTGACCAGTAGTTGAATTCTAGACTGCTGGGGTAGGAGAAGAAAAAAATGTAGAAGAGCAGGATGTGGCATACAAAGGGGATATATCCTACTGCCTTCATTGCATCCTCAGGTGAAGAAAGTAAACTGTTTTTTTCAGTGTTGTCAGTTGACTGATAGGAGAATTTCCGAAGACTAAAGGAGGAATTTTTCTACAGATCAGTAAAATACGAAAAAATATCAGCATAATTATTTATGGGCAACTTTTGTCACACCTTCTGAAAAGGAAATGTCCTGGAGCATCACTAAATTCAGCAAGGTTTGAGACCATTAAGTATCCCACAGAGCCAGGTTTCCATTTGGTTTGTAGATCTGGTGCAGCACAAATGCAAACTCAGTGCTGTACAGGCCATTTCAAAATCAGTGTTAACTGATTTGTAGGCGGGGCATGAGCACCTCAGGTACCTGGGGCAGCTGAGTGGGGGATTGGGAGTGTGGCAGGAGGGAAATCTATTCCTCAGGGTTGTTAACTGCAAAGTCTTTCTTGAGAATGAGCTAAAGGTAACAAACTAGGCTGACACTGAAGAGCATCTGGAATCCAACAGCAAAGTGCCCGAACCACAGCACTAATATTAGTGGTTTAAACAGGGACTGCTGTTTTTCTCTTTCTCTTTATTCTTTCCCTTTCTTTTTCCAAGACTCTCCCTATCTGTGTCCCACTCTGTCCTTCCAAACCTTCTCTTGCAAGAAACACCATGGGGGTGCAGATAACACACATTCACAAGCACATATGAACAAGGTGTAGTGCTCCTAAAGTTACTCAACCTGCTCTTTTTATTTTTGCACATTATTGCCCCTTTTTCTGTTTTTTGTATGCACATCTCCCTCCAGCACCAGAGCACTGAAGATCTGCTCTTGGCTGATTCCTAACAATGATTTTTGAGACAATTGGCATGCTTAATTATGCTTAATTAACCTCATGAATGGGCCAAGATGGTGCAGCTGTGTTACTGTCCATACATGTTAGTTCTATTTGGTCACGTTTTCAAAAAGCAGAAGAACCTCTAGGATTTAATCAAAATACCATACATTGGAATGATTTAGTTGTTGCTTCCCTTCTCAGTGCTCAACCCAAGAGTTCTTCCTGATAGTCAGCACCCTGTCTCGCCTGCACTTGGAAATCCAAGCTCTTGTCCCGATCCTGCATTCCCATGTGAGATCTCCGCTATTAAAAAATGCACTGTTGGAAGTCCCAGAGCTTCTCTCCCCAGTAAAACATTATTTAAAGATCCTTAATGAAGAAGCAGCCAAGTAAGTAGAGAAAATAGATGAATCTTCTGTGTCTCATAAGCTTTCTGACGAAATGTATTCAGTTGTTCAAATTATGCATCTTGTTTTACTACACGTTGGTTTTAAATTTTTTACTTTGTATTTATGTACAGTATCGTTTAGTTAAAGCAAAATTGTTGTTATCTATGGCTTAAATTTCCTTTTTTTGAAGTTAAACTAGGTGACCAAGCATTTTGCCTAGTGGGTGTTTGCCTTAGGTCAAATAATTTTTTTCATCTATTTTGGGCAATGAATTTACAGCAAAATGTGTTTTGCATTAGAATAATTTGTTTTAACATCCCTTTTTGAAGGGAGACTTGGCCTTTAGCAGGGTGGCGGGTCCGCTGTCAGGAATAAGCATTTTACTATTTTTGTGACAACTCATTAAAGCTGGCTATTGCGTCCTTTGTTGGTTCAAGAAAATAAAAGATAGAGGAAGAAGATGGACTTAATATGCATTATATTGGAGAGTGTCTTCAAGTAATTCATTTGTACTGTTTCTTTGATGAAAGATGTGGTATATAGTTTAATATATAGTTTCACTGGGGCATCACAGACTAAAAATGAACATCCACCTTATTCATAAAGCATATTTTTTCTTTTCCAAATTGGGATTTAAAATTAGATTTAAGAACTGAAGCCTAGAACTTCATTTCATTTGCTTCTGAATTAGAGAGAGATCTAAGGTGATGCTGAATTGAAATTAAATAAATTAAAGATGTTGAGAAGGGCAGAAGGATTTGCTCTGCCCATTTCACAGGTGGGATTATGAGATTTCTGCTGATGTATGGTGTCCAATTATAGTTGTGGCAGTTTATGACAAAACTGACTGTATCTAAATCACACCACTGTAGACTTGAAATATGGGGGGAGGGAGTGTCTGTCACTGTATTGATCGTGGGTAGAGTAGTATACAAAAATGGTGTAAGTAGAAAGATATCATCATTGATCAACAGATTACATATATTGTATTTGCATTCATTCAAGATGACTAAAATAACATATCTTTCAGCCTTTATTTATCTCAGCTTTATGCGCCAGTATTGTTTTCACTATAAAACGTTTCTTTCATAAAAATCACTAATACTACTCATCTCCATACATGAGCACACACTTGTGCAGACACTACATCACATGTTAATTTTGTTATGAGGTGCGGATAAAATCCTGTAGCTGTTTTCAAAAGTATCCCTCTGCTCCAGGGCTTTTTTTATGGGGAGTTGGAGATTTTAGGTTTGTGTTTTTTCTATTCCTAAACTGTCAACTTTAAAATTTTTTTGTAGGCATCACATAGCACTGACAGTCTTCACAATCAGCTGCTGGCTAGTGGTGATCTTTTTTTTTCCCTTGCATTCCCATGGAAACGTGTCTAATTAGCACAAAATCGTTTCTAAAAATTAGTATTATATTTTAAAATGGCATCTTTACTGTCAGTTACATAATATCAACAAAATGTAATGCAAAGCCAAAGCACAGCTTTGTGTTATCTGCCTGGTCACTGGCTCCAGTTGTAGTTTCATTCTCAGTCAAAGGGGTAGCAGAGTAAGTAGAATATTAGATTTTTTTATTACTTCTATGTTCTAATACTTTCCGTTGGCTAATTACTTGTTCTCCACATATTAGTTTTCAGGGTAATTGTGTAATTAATCGGTAGAGTTTTGTGTTTGCTCTAAAATAAAAAATTATATTCCAATTAACTTAGGGTTGATTGCACTGCTTTTCATTCTTTGCCTGATACTTACTAGGATAAGTTAAATTTTTGTTATTTTTGTTTACAACCATGTTTTTAACAGCTAGTTCAGCTCCCAAATTTTAACCATTTGAATGGCATTCTCTGTTTCAGATTTCAATCCAGAGCTGAGTTAGTGCAGCCAAAATAATTTTGTCATTTTTTTGACATTGAAACTAGAAAAGAGCATTGTTTTGCATGCAGTTAAAAGTGCTTTTCTGGAGAAAACAAGGAAGAGTTTTCTCAGAGCTGCTCTGAGAAAGCCCTGATGGCTTTCTGCTTTGATGAGGGCCTTGGGGGGGGGTGTGTTTCTTTGCAATTCTCATTAAAATCTGCCCAAATTTGGCCAAATTACAAATATGTCAAAAATCTGTGTGCATGTTATGGAGAAATTATCTAAAGCTTCATATTTAATCATGATAAACATGTCAGTACTTGAGGTGGTCTTTATGCAAAGTGCCTTTCTACTCATGTCATGAGTCTGGCAGGCTTTTGGTAAATATGCTATACCATGACCAAGCACCTGAAAATCTGTATTTAGAAGGGAGTAAAGCTAATGTTAAAACAAATGAGAATAACAAAATAAAATAAGGACACAGCCAAGAGAAACAGTATCTCTGTTTTTACCATTATTTTATCTTATGCTTCTTATGGATAGGACTGGAGATAAAACACAATTGTTCAAGGACCTTACAGACTTCCCTGTCATCAGAAAGAAAAAGGAGGACATCCAGGATGTGCTTTCTAAAATCCAATTGCATCTGCCAGACATTCGTAAACAGATTAAGAATCCTTCTGCTGAGTATGTTACAGTTTCAGGTCAAGAGGTAATATTGTATTTATTACAATATAACTGCACCCATTCTTGTCTGGAAAACAGTTTAAAAGTGAGACCTACTAGAGCTTAGTATGATGCTTGATGAGGTCATTTGACTATAACCTTTTGTCCAGCTTTAAAGAACATCTTTCTTACAGTATGACTCTTACTTGTTAAGTCAATTACTTCAGTGATTTAAATAATAGAAACTGCACACATTAGTGCAGTTGAATTTATTTCAGTGAAGCTTTGTTTTTCTCTGTATGTAAAAGCACTCACATACTTCCAGGGTTAATTTTATGACTAGTAAGTGCTGAAATACACTCTCAGAGGACCAGAAAGCACAGCATGTAGTTAACTTGGAGAATGGTAGAAAGATTTGTAAGTACTGAGTAAGACTGTAATTTGAAAGATGTGAGAAAAGAGGAACGGTTTTAAAGAATGATAAATGTTGTTTGAATTCTTAGAAACAGTGCTTTAGACTGGAGCTTTTGTTTGTAGGTGCTGTGCAAGTGTGGGCAGGACATGCTCCAGCGAGCTGAGAAGTTCAGTGGTGAAAAAAGAGATGTCAGATCCTGCCAAATTTCAGTGAGGTAGCACAGCTCAGCACTGTCCTTTGGGAACTGAGAGTAGGAAGGCTGGGAAAGCTCTATAGAAAACTGGGAAAAGAAAGGAGCTGGAAAATGGAATGAGAATTGAGAGTAGGGGAGAGAAATGGGTGAGGACAGGGAGGGAAAGAACTGGAATTGGCCCATGGAGGACTTTGGAAAGTGAGAAGAACCCAAGAGACATAGGAGGGAGCAAAGAGGCACTGGTGAAGTGAGGGAGAATGTGGGAAGGGATGAATTAGAAACAGCAGCTTTTGACAAAGACCTGTTGATGGTGGAGCTGAGAACAGCAAATACGAGGCACAAGAGCTGGGCAGGTTGTCAGCAGAGATACTGAAATTCAGCGGTAAAGTGACAAAGTGTGTTTGAGTATTGTCTGAGGGAGGAAAGAGCCAGGATTTCAAAGGTTTCTCTCAGGAAGGCTGCATTAAGAGTATAAGATGACAGCTCTGTGAAGGAAAGGAAAAGAGAGGAACTGATCAAAGAGAGAAAAGCATCTGAGGAGGTACCAAAATGTTGAGTTGATAGGAGGGTTAAAAACCACCAGTCAGTGCAGACATATAAGAAAGCAGGGCACAGCTCAGAAACCACTGCAGACAGAGGTGTATGTTGGTGTTCTGGTAAAAGGAGCTGTTATTTCATGATATCTGGTGAGGGTGTCTCACAGACACCAAAAGAGTCAACAGGGGAAGGGTCAGAGAAGATGGTCAGTGAGGAAAGGAAAGGCACCAAAGGAGTAAGAGTAATGGAAAGGGAATTGTTAGAGAGGAGAAGAAAACAGAATAGGAGTCTGTTTGATTTGAGCTCTTTCTTTCTCAGATCAGTGTAGTATATTCTGCTTGCATGCTGATAGATGTAGAATTCAAATGCTTCTTCACAAGAGAAGAGAAATAAGAGGTATTTCAAGACAAATATCTTGGAAGGGTTTTAGGTGAATGGAGAACTCATCCACCATACCCTTGCTGGGTTTTTTTGTGCCCATGTCAGGATTGTTATTTTTGTTTGTACTTGAGGGTGATGGCTGGCTATTCCAGTGAGCTGTGGAAGGTTTTATCTAAATCATATTAACTATAATGGAAAAACTTTGTCAGACCAAGGTCTTGTGGCTTTCTGTAAATGTGGGCATAGTCTGTGTTAACCTAATCTCAGCAGGAAATCCGTTTTCCAGCTGAATTCTGTGACTGGGAATACCTCAATTCTCTGATGTCCAGGGCCTCAGGCTGGTGTTATAAAGATAACTGACGTGAATCATATAAAATACTACAATAAACACATCACTTAAATTTCACTGCACTGAGCATCTTGCCATTATTGCTGTTCTTCCCTGTTCTTCCCTCTCTGCATCTGAGTTGATTCAAACCTCAAGCAAGGTTCTGTAGATACAGGAGGGTTATGTGTGTCATAACCCTTGCTTTTTCAGGGGAGAATGAACATTAACTTCTGGCCTGCTCAGTCTCTTCAGGATAAATATTGTTTTGCTCTGATGCATGCAAATGTCTTGATTTATAATGATTATGATTCTCTAGCCTTTCTGACTTCCCATGATGTGTAATATTACATTTCTGTTATTTTAGTTTCTCATAGAAGTCAAGAATTCCCATAAATCATCTGTGCCATCTGACTGGGTTATGATTAGTAGGTACGTAAAATATCTTCAAAGTTTAATATAGAAGTTTAAGTAAAAACAACTGAATGCAACTGACCACAATTGTAAATTTATTGCTTAAAAGCAAACAAAACCAAGCAGAAAAAATGGAGTGCTTAAAGCATTTCTTTTTACACAGTAGGTCCTTAGAGCACCGTATTATTTACCTAACCTTTCAAAGTTCATGTACTGGTGTTAAAACCATGGTCTTGATTCAGTTGTGCCTGTAGCTTGCACATGCAAGTGCTTCATAAAATTTTGATTTTTCTTATTTTATTCAGAAAGGTTTAAGTAGCTGTGCAAACATCTGTTTATACATCTCAATAAATTCAGTTCATTTAAAATGTTATTTTACTTACTCATACAGACAGGCACGTCTTGCTGTGGTACTTGGTGCTGTGTAAGCATGATTTTAGATAGTTTTGGGTACTTTTCCAGCAGGTGAAACAGAGATGGCCTGAATTATGTAGTCGACTTTTTTTCCTCCCCAGTAATTTGATTTATGATTTAAGTGGGTTGAATACCTTGAAGTTATAATGTCCATGTAAATGCTGAATTTTCTACAAGACCCAGTTTGTAATATGCGAGCACAGACATCACAGGTGAACTCTGAAGGGATGTTCTATTCACTTATGCAAGAGTTCAGTATTAAAAATGCAGAGATTAGACAGAATTAACAAGGTGAATGAATTGCAGCTAATCTGGATTCTGTAAAACAATGCCTGGGTACCCCAAAGTGAGTCCTTAATGAAAATACATAAACAAATACCAAGTGCTGTGAGTGGAAACTAGCAAGGCAGTCTGTATTTACAAAGTTCCTTTCAGGCTTGTCACAAAGTTTTCCTTTTTAAAGTGATTTTTTTGTGTGTGTGTAGTTCATTGTATATGCAACCAGCCACAAAAAAGTCATCCATTTAGGCAGTGTTTTGTGAGTAGAGTTTTATGAAATATGTAAACTTTGATGATACATGCCACATTATGCAAAACATTTCAGAAGCCTTCTAAGTGGTGCAGTAACTGACCACTTTATTCCCAATAAATACCAGTGAATCAATAGGGTTTGGTACCACAACAGAAAAACTTTTTTTTTTTTTTTAACCATACATTTTCAAGGCTCCCATAAAGAAAAATATCCCAATTTTGCCTGTAGATGGTGTAGCTGTGTGATGGTTCGGACTTGGCTCCCTGTCAAATGCCTAACCCTCCAGTAGCAGCCCCTTTCTTTCCCTTTTTTACTTCCTCCAGGGCAAAAAAAAAAAAACTATGCAAATTGAAGAACCCAAAAATCAAGCTAGTTATATAAAAAAAAAATATATATTTTATGTATATTATGGTTAAGATGCTATGTACACAGCAAAAGGGAATCCAAACACCCCCCGAAGGGATAGGGAAAGGGGAAAAGGAATAAAAGGGAACAAAAAAAAAATACTGAGCAGATATACACAATTAAACCCAAGAATTAGTAAAATAACTAGTAAGACAAATCTCACCACGTCTCTTAGAAAAAAAACAGGATTGACACACACACGACCAGCACTCCCCAAGCCTCCACGTGGCAGGTCAGTGGATGCTGCAGGCCTCAGCCTTAGATAAGCGAGACCAATGCAGGGACCCACTGTTCTCGAACCTCGCCGAAGAGAGTGAAGGCCTCTCCTCCTTTCTTATTTATACCTCGATTTACGTAAAAATCGTATGGAGTACTGGGAACACTGCCCCTTCCTTGGTTACAAACTGGTAACCAGGGAAGGCCTAGATTAAAACCACCACAAGCTGATTCTTTGGTGACCTTGATTTCCTGTTTGGCTTCTCTCTCCCTTCCAGCACAAAAGCTGTGAGCCGCTTCCACTCCCCTTTTATCATAGAAAATTATAGACATCTGAATCAGCTCCAGGAGAAGCTCATCCTTGACTGCAGTGCTGAGTGGCTGAACTTCTTAGAGTGAGTTTACAAAACACAGCCCATCCTCATCATTGTATTTGGTTTGGGGTTTGCTGTAAGAGGAGAAGAAGAAAGATGTTTATCTTGAAAAGAAGTTCATAATTACATTGTCCACAACAACCTTACAGGTGGTCAACTAAAATGTTGCTTAAAGTATGTGAAGGCAGGACCTTGAAGACTGAGTCCTGGGACCAGCAGTGATACCTCTGCATTTTAACATTCTAATGAAAATACACTATTAATTATGTAAGGTGTCTCTCAAAATTTGAAAACTAATATCACAGAAGATATTAATTTTATTAAGATAAAAATAATAAAAATATTAATATTAATAAAATATATCAATAAATTAATATTAATTATTTTGAAAATAAAAGTACAGCTGACTTAGTGAAACTGAATCTAGTAGTTTTATTATTGAAGTAGTAGTACAAACTGGTTTTATTGTAGTATTTATTAATATTATATATTAGTTTTATTATTAATTATATTTTTTACGCTGTCATGAGATTGACTGTGATTATTTGCTAGAAAATAGTGGGAGTTTTATTGTCCCTCACATCTGGCAAATCTGTTTGTCTGAGGTCAGAGTTTTCAATGGTGTTATTTGACTATTTGGCCAAAGGATCTTTAAAATGAGAGTTTAAAAAATATTTCTGGAACTTCTGAATGCCTTTAATTTTTCAGTTGTCCAGTTATCTGTTATTTTTTTACTTCCATGAGTTGCAGAGCTGGTGAAATTGTTCCTCTTGTCATGCAGTGATAGTTTGCAAAAGCTTAGCAAGTCCCCTCTGAAGTTGTTTCACTGGATTTGCCCCATAGTGCAAACCCAACAATTCTCTAAATTTGGTAGAAACTAGAAAAACATTCCTACTCACACTTCTCCGGGTGTGTTTCCTGTGCAGTGCCATAGTGCTCTTCACGTTCCCTTGGCTGTTTTCAATGTTGTATAACAGCAGACAACAAGGAAAGACCTGGGTGTAGGAAAGTGCTCTCCTTTCCCGCTCCTCCATTCATTTATGTCTTTGTTTATTAAACTTCGCTTCCCTGCTGGTTTTATATTCTATATTGTTCCTTTGAGACTAGGAGAGGGGAAAAAACAAATTCTTGAGGATGAACAGAATGAACTTTACTGAAAACTCTGTTCCCCTGATAATGTCATTATTGTGCTGGGAAAGCAGTACATAAAATGAAAAATAATTCTTGAATTTTCTGTTGTAGATACCATACTTTATTGAAGTTGTAGACAACTCCTGTGTCAGACACTCTTAGTTTAGTTCTTTTCTGATTGTAATTTACGGTTGAAGTTGAACCAGCAATTGCGATTCAGTTGCCGCTGTGATAAATTGTGGCATTTTTACAGACCTCATTGAGGCAAGTGCTGACCCTTAATATGCTACGTAATGAATTTCATTTTTGTCTGATTTTTTTGTGCTTAAAAATAATTCACTGTTAGTATGTCGTAAAGTCCATCTTGATTTTGTCCTCCTGTTGCAGTCTAAATCACTGCTGGGAGATTTGAATTCAGAGCGATTTAGCAACCGCAGGAGCCCTGTGAAGAACTTGCATGGGGTGTATTTTGACAACCCTTCTGTATCTGTGCAGAATTATTTTTTTTTCCTTTTCTTCTGTTACTTTTCCCTGTTTTGGTACAGCCATTTCAGTGAACATTATCACCCTGTGTCTAAAGCCATTGGTCACCTAGCAACTGTCGACTGCTTGTTTTCTCTGGCCCAGGTGGCTAAACAAGGAGACTACTGCAGGTAATCAATTTTTAATTTTTATTTGGGATTTTTTTAGGGAATTATAAGAGGGTATTTAAAATAAATTAGATTTTAATATGTGTACTATGATAAAATGCATTATTAAAATTGTTTACAGTAGTTTCAACTTAATCTGATTTTGCAAAAAAAACACTTCTGGGCAAAACACAAATCTGTAAACATTGCAGTTCAAATTTTACATGTTATGTCAAATTAACAAATCAACAAACAAATTATGTTTGTTGTTTGGCCTGAGTCTAGTGGATGATATCTCATATATAAATAAATGCTGGACTTTGCATGGACTTCTTTTTCTCCTTTTCTTTTTTCTCAGCAAGGTCTGAGTTTATAATGTCTTCCTAATACCTAATTTTCTCAGGTATTTGAGGTTTGTTTCAGTGATGTATTTCAGATAAATAATAGGTAAATATTAGTTCCAGCTTGCAGAGCAGAGGGGGTGCCTCACCTGGGATCAGGGGTGATGAGCTGTGCACCTGCCCCTGCCCAAGACCCACACATAGACAGACAAATGAAGAGAAATCAACTTGCAAGTACTTCTGCTGTTATACGTCTTTAAACATAATATTGATCACCTCTGGACTCTTGGGATCATGTGTGCCTCTGTTAAAATCTCTTGAAAGTAATTGCTCACTTATTTCTGTATACTCAGATGAGAAAACAAACTGAAGTCTGATTAATTCATTGTGCCAGGGTTTAAATAATTACCTGAATTTCAGAGTGGCTTAGAGCTTATAAACTAGCTGGAAGGAGACTTCTCCGTGAAACTTCAGCAGCAGGGAAGATGCCACTAATTAATTTTGGTGGGTTGCTGAAGGAAAGATTAGGACTGTAATATTAAGGAATTAAGGAATGGTTTTTGATTCAGTGAGGATTGTTTCCTGTAGCCCAGCCTGAGGTAGGTAAGTGAGCCGGGTCAGGAGCACAGGTGCTCTGCACAGTTGTGGGGGATAGCTGAGCACCTCTCACAGTTCAAAGGCATCTGAGGATCTCTGGGTTGGGACACTCTTCCTTTACGCAGATGATTTACAGCATCAGGGCTCTCAGGCAGCAATGTTAGAGACGTAAAGGTAATGGTGTGTGTAGTCCAGAGACCATCATCTGATGCTTGGGTGTCCACTCTCCAGGCTGTGAGTGGTTTAAGGGATGCTGTTGAAAAGGTGGTGCAAGGCCCCAGACTGTCTATATATTGGTTTCATCTCAGCTATACAACTGTGGGGAGGAAAAAACACCATTATCAGTTTGCACCTCTTTCCCCAGTGCTTTGTGTTTCTAATATGGCATTTATTTCATCTCTATTTTCCTTCTAAATTGCATACTCCCACTCCCCACATCTTCCCTTTAAAGTCCACCCAAAGTATTAGTTCATTAGTTCATTCTGTGGCATTATTCCAGTATCCTCTTTTTCTCAGGGCTCCTGCCCCTTTCCCTATAAGCTGCTGCTCTTATTTCAGAGTGCTTGTACTTCTGGGTTAGGAAAATGTTGCTGAGACATGGAACCACATTTACATCTCCACTGAGTGCTGCGATTCAGTTTATGATGGAAAAGAAAAAGTAGGTTGCAGAGAACAAAACAAATTAATAGAATTCAGTGGAACATGCTTCTCTTTCAGGTTTTGTTCTTTGAAGAACATTCAGTATTTGGAGATGGAGCTTTTCAGACACAGAGATATGTAGTAAAGAATTAAAAATGTTGTATTAGTAGACTTGTAGACAAATTCACAGTTGAGGTAGAATTTCCTTATCCAATCTGCTAATATATTTTTTTATAACTGATCGAAACTAAGGAAGTCTTTAGAAATACTTAATGGCAATAATTAATTTTTATCATTTGAGATTTGGTTTTTTTTCCACAAAAATCTACATCATAGAACACCCTCCTACAGGCCTTAGTTGCAGTAAATTATTAGTTACAATAAATTAGAATTAATATATTTTCCTTTTTGCAGACCAGTTGTGCAAGATAATCATCAAGAAATAATTATAAAAAATGGGAGGCACCCTGTGATTGATGTACTTCTGGGAGAACAGGATCAGTATGTTCCAAATACCACTAACCTTTCAGTAAGTACCAAGATACTCCAAAATCATTCAAGGGAAGGAGTCTGGGATCAGCTTCTTGGCCAGGGAGTTAGAATAAGTAATTTAATCATACAGCTATCTGCTTGGTTGTATTTCAGACTCTCTTTTTACAACCTTGTTCAGCCTTAATGGCATAAATAAAAGAAAAGTTATCACAAAATTAGGAAAATATATGTTTTAAATGGTTATTTTTGAAAAACAAAGTAATAATTACGGGGTTTTTAATGGTGCAATCAGAAGGAGTCTTAATTTTGTCAAAATCTTTTCTCAAAATTGTGGAGTGTTTTAATATGCAAAATAGATGTGACAGGCACAATTTTCCACCTTGATTCTAAGATTGCTCCTGTATTTTTTAATTATTTCTCTACTAAGCATTTTCCTTTCTTTCTGAAAGTGTTAATGTGATGCAGACTTCTTTTTCCTGATAAACTAAAATCTGTCCTTTAAATTACCTATTTGAGGTTTTGCATCCTCCTGCCTATTTATTTTTTTAAAGTATTAAACATCTGTTCTTAATGAATACTAAAGATCTCCTTGCAACTTAACACTGAACTGTCTCTGCCATTTTATACAGTAAATACAGAAAAGGTATGAAACAGCTGTCAGTGTGGAACATTTCTGTGATAAACAGCATTCAAATTTGTATGTATTTCTTGGAAAATATTTTTAAATGCTGTTCTATACTGAACAATGATACAGATATTTTGCAATACTGCTGGGAATGTTTTCAAAATTATTGTCAATTCCAAACAAGTGACAGATGGCACTTACAAAAAAATTCAGCATTTCATTCAGTAATCATCATCCACTTTTCCCTCTTTAGCCCCATTCTTATGTTGGCTTTCTAAATACTGAATATTACAAAATCAAGTAATCACAGCAGAATCACTTTTGCCTCTACTGTTGTTTGAGTTTTCTCTTTCTTGAGAGAGGTGGTGGGTGGGAACTAGTGTGGTAAAACGTCTGTAGTTTTCAACTGATGTGTTTGAATCAGCAGGAAAATACATCTCCTGTCATGTTTTCAGATGAAACATTGTCAAATACCTAACTTGAGGAAAAGCTTTCTTGCAGTGCTCTGAAATAAACATATTATTTTTCCACTCCCCTTCTCCTCCCCAAATGTTCATGGATTGTTTTAGGCTTTTAACTTCAGCCATGGATTCCAGTAAGATGTTGGCTGTGTACAGTTGTAAGGGCAGATGTTGTTGCATTCTGGATTAAGTTATGAACTGCCCAGTGCAGTTACATTTTTATTTTAAGACTTTTTAAAAGCCTTTTGGTTCATTATAACCTCTAATTTGCATCTGGAGAAAGAGTTACACACTCTTCTCTAAGAGAAATTCTATTTAATTTAGTGAGAAAAGTACAATATTTTGGCAAAAGGTTTTTACCGGAGTAAAATACAACCAAGAAAAAAGCATTTCACTAAGACATTCAGCACAATGACCCATTCAACAGGAAACACCCACTAAAAACTATCCATGTACCAGCTTTAGTAAAACACAGTTCATTGGTTTTAAGTTACCCACAAGAGACAGAAAAGAACAGAAGAAAACAGATTAAAGAAAGAGAGGAGAGAGAGAAAGGAGAGGAGAACAGTTACTGACAAGATTTGGTGATTCACATGGTGCTGGCTGGAGAGAGAGACAGGGAGAGCACATGGACTCTCGTGTATTTATAGTGTTCAGTTTTCCCTCCCAGACAGGATATCCTGGCAGTGCCTTCCAGGCCAGACCAAGCTGTGCTATAACCACTCCCAGGCTGCAGGGCTGTGGTGTGGGTGGGCTACCAGGCAGCTCAGCCCTGACTGACAGCCCTGCAGGGCCTGCAAGCTCTGCCCTGTGCTCTGCGTGGGCAGCAGCCCTTGCCTTCAGCTCTGCCCTGTGCCCTCAGCACAGCCCTGGTGTGCAGCCCTTACCATGGACTGCAGGGCCAGGCACAGCCCTTCCCACATGCACACACACACTCACACCGAGTTGGTTCCGACCCATCTCAATAATTCAGTGGGATTCGGATCCCAGATCTCACAAATGTGTTCTCTGCCCTGATTTTATAGAAGGTGTTCTTTATGAAAACCACAAGATTTGCAAACCAGCCACCAGTGTCACAACATGGTTGGAGGGAGCCTGGACAGATATCAAACACACGCAAGAGATTTGTGGATTTTAACAAATAAAGTTGTGAACTCATTCTGGTTTTAAATTGTGTTGGGTTGAGCACTGACAAAGTTTTAGTAGCAGCACTAAAACTGTACTCTGGAGACTAGAATGTTATGCATTTTGTTCTCATGTAGTCATGTACATTTTATTACATTCATCCTTTATTCCCAGTTGTGACATTTTCTGAATTTTCACTGTATCACGACTTCCGTATGGATGAGGTTTGCTTTGCAAAAGCTGAACAGCTCTGTAGATATAATTAATTCTGGATGCCTATATCTTCTGTATCTTCTGTACTATGGCATAAGTGACAGTCCTATCTGAACTTTGTGTGTGTCTCTATAAACAGAATGAAAGCCCCACCAAGAGTCAAATCTGTATAGATCTTGAGACTTTTTCTGTGGAGATTTTTTTAGCTGTAGTTTTCACAGTGCCTGATCAGTTTGAAGTTTCCCAGGCAGTGTGACTAATACAGCTTGTCCTGCCATCCATGTCCCCTCCCTTGGGGCAGTGGGGTGTGCTGACTTTTGTGTAGTTCATCAGTTGGTGCATTTCTTTGGATGTACCCAGGGGAAAGGAAAAGAGTACCTGTGTGATATCCTTGCATAACTTAATTTCCTAGTCTGTATTTGGGCTCTGAGAAAGCTTTATAGATTCGTTGATGAGTTTTAATTTTGTATCAGCAATTGTCTTACACTAGAGGAGCACAGTTTTATTCTGGAGTAGGAAGTCTTACAGCTGAGATGAGTTCTTGCATCTGATTTAACTTTCTATGTGGTTTCAGTGGTCAGATACACAGACTGATTTGGTACAGTCTGCTCACAGTATTTGTGTTGCAGTCAAATATTGCCAAACTCAGCAATGTCTTCATTTCTTGTTGTAGCCAGTCTGCATGTACTTAAGGCAGGCAATTTTGAGCGTAAAATCCAGGTCAGGTCTTTGTCAGATCTCTCCATTTGGCAATGAGAACTGCAGCTGGAGAGGATCACAGCCAAATTAGGACAGCTCTGGCTATACTGAGAGCTCATGAGTTTCTGCTTTTCTCCAAAGAAAATTGCATAGAATCCCAGAATCACAGTGGTTTGGCTTGGAAGGGATCTCAAAGCTCATCCAGTTCCACCCCTGCCATGGGCACGGACATCTTCCACTATCCCAGATTGCTCTAAGCTGCATCCTACCTGGCCTTGGACTCTTCCGGGGATGGGGCAGCCACAGCTTCTCTGGGCAACCTGTGCTGGGTCCTCACCACCCTCACAAGGAATAAATTCCTCCCGATATCCCATCCAACACTGTCCTCTGACAGTCTGAAGTTATTCCCCCTTGTCCTGTCACTGCAGACCCTTCTAAATAATCCCTCTCCATCTTTCATGTCAGCTCCCTTCAGGTCCTTCAAGGCCACAGTTAGGTCACCCTGGAGCCTTCTCTAATTTAAACAATCCCAATTCTCTGAGCCTTTCCTCACAGCGGAGCTGCTCCATCCCTCTGATCATCTTGGTGCCTCTTCTGGACTCGCTCCAGCAGCTCCATGTCCTTCCTGTGCTGGAAAGCAAGTTCTTGGATGCTTTCTTGACTCCTTGATGGAGAACAGGAAGGTTTCCCCTCACTGTGTCCATTTTGCTCAAGAGCAATCAAAATTGATTTTGATGCATCTGGGATTTCATAATATCTGGAAAAGCAAATGTGAGGAACAGGAAGTTTAGTCCTGCAGACTTCTCCTACATCCTTCTAAGCAGATGCACACACCATACTTTCTTATGGAAGCACCAGATGTAAGACAATATATTTGACTTCTCTTTTGTGTTTCCAGGGAGATGGTGAAAGGGTCATGATAATAACTGGGCCTAACATGGGAGGAAAGAGCTCCTACATCAAGCAAGTGGCCTTGATCACAGTCATGGCACAGATTGGTTCTTATGTTCCTGCGGAGGAGGCAACAATTGGAATTGTGGATGGTATTTTTACCAGGTAATCTTTCAGAACTTGATGTATGTATATGGAAATGTTACTGTGGCAGGATGTGGGTGTGTGTCTGTATATCAAAGTGTAATTTCATTTTTCATTTAGAACTCCAGAATTTATACCTGAAGTTTCAACCTTTTCATTTTAAAGGCACATATTCATTGTTAAGTTTTGACTCTGATTTTCTGGAAAGCTAATGGTATTTGTATTGTAATCTTTGAATCTTCGAAGGATAACAATTTTAATGTGTATGTCTTGATTAACATCCAGATATCTAAATATCTGCCTGAATGGACATCTCAGCCAAATGTATTCTGCTGGGTGGCAGCCAAATGGTGTTTCCCCTAAAACAAATGTTGTCACCTCTGAAAGTCCTGTCACAGTTTCTGCTGTCAAGTTCTGTTGCATACATTCACAGTATTTGAGACTGAGAATAGTGGCAGTTTATTTCACTCAGTCTCATTTTTGAGACAGTGCTGAGTAATCTGTAAAGATTATTAGTACAGTCAAAAGTCTGCATTTTATAATCTAAAATTACTAAGGTTTATCCCCCGATTTTCCCGTTTTTTCCTTAATAATTTTTTTAATGAACAAAAGTTCTGTGTTACTGGTTGATGGTATTTGAAATGAATTTTTATCTGTGGTTATGAGTTTCACAGCAGTCATGTAATCTGTGCTAGAATTTCCTGAAATTCTAGTTCTGTGATGGCAGTAAGCATTCCAGAGTTAACTTTTAACAGAGAACCTGAAGTAGTTCTCACCTGGGATTGCTTCATCATATAAAGTGAAGTGAAGTGTTCTTGTGTAATTACAAAAATGAATGAAATTGCACCTTGATGCTGTTCAGGGCTAAGCAAATTAGAAGACATTTGTATCATCTTTCCAAAATTCATTGGAGACGAGAATTCAAAATGGTTCACTTCTTTCCCTGCCTTGTGTTGAAAGGAATTAACTGGTTGGTTGGATGAGCATTTTCTTAAGGGAACACAGAGACACACAGGATCTGATTTACTTTACGGAACAAACATTACAACATCACTAACAATATGAAGATGATTTTTGTCTTCCTCTTTGTTTTGTAGCTGAACTTCATTTGTGTTCACAGTGACTGAATTTCTATACACGTGCAAGTCTGCTACTCTAAAGCTGGATATCTGCATTCCTCTAGTTTTCTTAGACTGTCATTGTAACAGGATGATTTCTGCACAAAACATTAGGAAGTGTGACAGAGTCAATTGGGAGAGACATTTTGTTTTGTGCCTGCTTGAAAGAGAACAAATTGGGGTTTTATCTGAGTTCCGCCCGTTCCCCAGTGTATTTCCCTGATTCCACACCAAGTATTTTTCACAACATTTCTGATAGTGTGGTCGAACATAAAAGTAATGCATTCAGATTTCAAGCCAAGCAGACCTAGAGTGTACTGCTGTGTGAGGTTTCAGACCATTTAATTTGTAACCCTCTCACACCCTAAAACAGTGGATTGATTTTTTTTTCTTCTTCCCTGTCTATATTAGTTTTGGATGCTCAGCTGCATATGCCACTCTTCATTTAATGTGAAATGTGTCAAACACCAGATGAATATACAGAAGAATTACTGAAATTCATGTAATTGCACTGGCAATTAAGAGTAAACTAATTGGCTCAATATTAATCAAGAAGAAATTGAAAATACATTATTAAGACAGAAGTAGTCATTGCATTAGTGGAAAGGTAGCAGGAAGCAAAAGGGAAAAGGAGTAGCTTATCAGATGTACGGAGACTGCAGGAAGTAGACACCTCTGTTTTTGTTTGTTTGGGGGTTGGTTTTGGTTTTTTCAGGGTTCTGGAAAGGCCTTAAAAGTATGGAAGTCTGTCAGGCCAGGTTAATGTGGTATTGCATTCAGGATATTCCTCAGCCCTAGGAAGTTATCCTTGAAACAGTTTTTAATGCCTGCTTTGAGGAAAGAATCAACAAATCAGTTGCCACATGTTACGTCTTACCTTGAGATTTAATGCTCTTTTTCTAAAGTCTCAGCTTTTGCCCTGGACTCTCGGCTGGTAGGGAATAACATGGAAGAGATCAGAGATTTTCTCTCAACTCATACCCAATTTTGATTTTTTTTGTTTTCATCTTCTGTGTTTTGTTTTGGGGGTTGGTTTTGCTTGGAATTTTTTTTTTCTTATTATTTTTGGGGGGGATTTCTGGTTTTTTTTGTTGTTTTTTTTAGTAACACAATGACAACTGTGTAGACCCTCTTTTCTGCACTGCCATCCCAGCCCACAAGTGTCTTGCTGAAAATTCTGTTGTTGTTAATAGCTTTGGTATATTTTTATATTTTAAAAACTTTGCATAAGAAGATTTACAAATTAGTTCTGTCACTGCTATGGTGAGTTGCTTGTGGGGGCTGTTCTTACTGTGGCACCCCTGGGATGCTGTGAGGATGCTGTACAGGCTGACTCTGCATCAAGGGGTTCTGTGCATCAGGAACACCAACAGTTCTGCTTGATAGATCTGTCTGAACATTGGTGCTTTATACTCTTTTTTTGTTCATAGGCTGCATCTTCGAACCATGGATTTATATAGGTTTAAGAGATTTGTGTCTCTAGGATTTGTGAGTTGTGTTCCAGTAGGGTTTCCATGGAAATTGAAAGGTTGCCACTATGGTTATTCCTTCTGATATACTGTATTTATGTATGGTATCTTCCCTAGATTGACTTTAAATACTGGATTATAGAACATTTTTAAAGATATAAAAAAAGTTTCTTACAAGTGGAATGAAAATAGGAGTGATCCAGCTTCGTTATTGGTGTGTAGACACAAGATTAAGGCTGGTCTAGACATTTGTAATACGGAGGGAGTACACAGTATTTTGAGGAGGTTTGCTGGTTGATATTTGCTTCTTTTTTTTTGCCCTTTTCCAATCAGGGATAATGTTTTCTTGCCACCTTTCGTTAAAGAATTTAACTTAATCAGTGTCATTGTATTTAAAAAATTTAGAAGGGATTTGAAAAGGTCAGCACCTAATTTATATTGATTTGAATATTTAATTCTTTGATGTTTGAAAATTCCCATCCAAGTTTCTCCTTGCAGCAAATTTTAAAGCAATTTTTGCTTTAAATTAACCTTCAGGATTTTTTTGGTTCTAATACAGTTATTTAGACATTGAAATTAATGTGTCGTTTCTCTGCGTGTTTGAGTAGAAAGACAAAGCAAAGATGGACATGCCTATATGGAGGAATTAAAGAAAGGAATTCTGTTGGCCCAGTCATGCCCTCAGAAACAGTGATGTTTAGCTGCTGAAGAAAGCTGACCTTAAAAGAGGTCCCACTTCAAATCTATTATTGATGGAATTTTTATAGCCGGAAGACTTCAGCCTAGTTCCTGTAGGTCAGCAGTAGCTCCTCATGACTCAATTTTCAAAATTGATAGAGAATGCTATAGCACTTTGAAGGCAAAATATGTTCAAATAACCAGGCTAATTTAATAATTCAAATTATTAAATCTTGATAAATAATTTAATAAATAAAATTATTAAATCTTGATTTCAAGATTTTGAGATCAGTTTTTTGAAATCACAAGCTCCCTTATGAAAGAATACTGCAAAGGAGAGGAACTCCTGCCAACACTACGTGATACTACAGGGACAAAGAAGAATTTCCTCTTAGAGCACTTACCTGCATGGCTTTCTCTTCTTGTACTGAAATAAAAGCTATTTCACTTATTTCAGTGATCAGATGTGAGAAAGCACAGTCACATGCAGTGACCCACATCTTGCAGTGAGGTTTTATCCCATCAGCTAGGCTGGGAATGCTTTTAAAGCTGCAGGTTCAGTTATCTGCACTAATACAGTGCCTTGTGCTTCAAGTGCCTTTCAAAACTGCCTCTTGCAAGTGATCTGCCACATGCTTAAAGGTTAAAGGATTGAACAGAGGCATCAGTAAGATGCATATAGATTATTCTCTCGTGCACTTTGTCTCTCTTGAAAGAGTTACCTTGCTGTTTGCAGACTCTCAGCATGGCTTGAATTCTCATGGTATCAAACACAGTTTGATTGTCTGTGAAGGTAAATTAGGAAAACAGAGGGGTGGAGGAGGGTGGCAGTACAGGTTAACAGGTAAGGGTGGTATGTTGCCTAGGTGAGCAGCAGTTCAGTGTTGCCACTCTACCTGAGACATGCAGCTTCCTGCTCTTCGAGGCCTTTGTCTGCGTGTAGTCCCTGCATCTCACATGATCTGCATTTAGGTGTACATAGTTTTGTCCTACATTTTCTCCTTGTAACAGATGCTTTAAAGCTGTTTTTAACATGGAAGGCACTCCTCATTGCTGAATCTGTAGTTAGGAGATAACTATTTTTCTTCAAATTCCACTCTATATCAGAAAATGTTGTGAAAACAGATGGTGACTGCTCACCTTGGCTAAGGAGGGACAGTTTTGTTATTCTAGCTTCTATGACATGTCTGTATGCAGAGTCTTTCAGATAGACATAGCCACGGGTGGAATCCCAAGTCTCTCTATTCCAGGTTCCAAGCTACAGAGCTGTTTTGGTATTTCTGTTATCCTTGCATAATGATTTTGAACATGTATGATATACAACTAAAACTTAGACCACAAAAATCTTTGGGCAGCTGACCACCGAAATAATGGAGGAGTTTCATTCCCCTCACCTGGCCTTAGCTGGGTCATGTTATTTCCAGCAACCTAGATCCAGTTCCAGCCATGTACCTTGCAAAGGAGTGGCGGCTCTGAGTTGATCAATGTGTTCAGTAAAAGGAGGGGACTTTGATCACTGAGAGGGATAGCAGAACTACTGAGAGATTCACCAAGATCCTGTTGAAAATTGCTTTTGGGGACCTACCCATGTGAGTAGCTACAATCACTGCTCTATGTGACCAGGAACAGGACCTGAGGGAACAGCTGGAGCTGTGTCTGGGAAGGGTTTGGTCACAGCACCAAGGCTACAGGAGCTCAAGGAGTGTTAGCACATCAACTAATTCTTCTTTCTCTTTTGAGAAACAGAATAAGTGCA